AGAAGGACCGATCCTCTACTATCAGGGTTGCTGCAAAGACCCTGGGACAAGGGTAGGCAAACTGCTTGTGTCGAACAAAATAGCCAGGCCCTATGCATCACGGTTACGACTAGTTTCGCAATGATCCGTTTTGCTTTTAAGATACATGGTGGGACACTCTACGGTGACCTACAAGAAAAGGCTCATATGGAATCACTGGAAAGTTGTACCCTTGCGGTCTGGTTGCGTTTCAGAGGCTCGGAGCAGCCCTGGGTCAAGACCCTGAAGCCAAGGCCATGCATCATTCCAACAACCGCTACGAGGACAGAAAGAGAACCAATGCCTTGTTGGATGCCGGCGCACACCACAACAGGTCCAGCGCGTCTTGCCCCACCAGGACCCGGTTACTTGGGGCAACCATCAATGACAGCACGCCCGACAGCCGAGGATCATCCTGAAGGCGCCTTTCTGTAGTTTGTCAAAAACCCAGAAGTGTTGTTTTAGCGAACTTTGTCCGCCCACCTCTGCCATCGATGAATCAGATCGGGTAGAGGCATGGGCTACCGCTCTCTCAAATCACGACTAATCTGCAAAAGGCGCGCAGCCCCGACCTGCAGGGGTTCTCCCTCTGAGGTACTGCGCTCGCGCCGGCTCTTCCCCTCATACTGTGCTTGTCACAGCTAAGGGGTGGTGCTCGGACATTACATTACATTACATTACAATGGCCGAAGCAGGTGCGTGCTTCGTCGTGCGCTTCGTCGTGCAAATTCGGAACGAGGGCTCGGTGGACTCGCGGGTCGTTGAGCCGGGGCGAGTCCAAGCGGTCTGGATGACCCAGCCCGGTGGCAAACGTTTCGAGTCTCCCAGCCAGAGGTCCAATGTGGAGGCACTTGCGATTGTGAGGTTCTCCAGCTGCATTTGGTCTAGAAGCAGACACACAATCACACACGCACAAAAAACAAACAAACTAACAAAAAAAACAAACAAATACACAGAAGCAAACAAACAAAAACCAAAAACAAAAGACAAACAAACAAACAAACAAACACACAAACATACAAACAAACAAACAAACAAACAGACAAACAAACAAACAAACAAACAAACAAACAAACACACAAACAAACAAACAAATACACACAAACAAACACATACAGACACACGCACAGACACCCACACAAACACACACACACAAAACACACACAAACACACAAACACACAAACACACAAACACACAAACACACAAACACACAAACACACAAACACACAAACACACAAACACACAAACACACAACACACACACACCCAACACACAAACAACACACAACACACACAAACACACAAGCACACAAACACACAAACACACAAACCCACAAACCCACAAACCCACAAACCCACAAACACACAAACACACAAACACACAAACCCACAAACACACAAACACGCAAACACCCAAACACGCAAACACCCAAACACACACCCACACACACCCACACACGCAAACATGCAAACACGCAAACACAGTAACACACAAACACACAAACACACACACACACACACACACACAGACACAGACACACACACAGACACACACACAGACACACACACACACAGACACACACAGACACAGACACACACACACACACAGACACACACACACACAGAGACACACACACACAGACACAGACACACACACAAACAGACACACACACACACCACACACAGACACACACACACACACCACACACACACACACCACACACACACAGACACACACACACACCCACCACACACACACAGACACTCACACACACACACACCACACACACACACACACCACACACACACACACAGACACACACACACACACACTCACCACACACGCACAGACACACACCACACACAGACACACACACACACACACACACACACACACACACACACACACACACACACAAAAGCCCCCCATCCGGCACCCGGACGCGCAAATGATCCTCGCCTGTGACCAGGGTGCTGCGCCAGACAAACTTCCAGTACTGCCACCTAGGCTTTCCCATTGACTGGGATAGCCCACCAAGGAAGGGAGGTTCCGCATTTCAGGAAACACTGCGAGTTCCCGTCCGTCATTTTTTCTGGGTGCAACAAGAAAGAACATGGGTTGAAGGAGGCACGCATCCTTTTGCCCTTCCTTTAAACACTATCAAGCTAGGGAGTGTCCCCCATTGTGGTCTATTCCCAGAGTATTTAACAAGTACAAAAAACCAGGGGGAGATCCAAACTGCATTTTAGACAAAAGTGTCAGTTTCATTGAAGCCCACAAACAAATTGGTTCAACATCTGCACTTGGCCAATCCAATGACGTTTGGTTTTTGGCGTGTTCGTAATGGTCGTAACGTAGCCCTTTTGCAAATTGTTGTGTAGTACACAACGCTGGAGAACAATGAAGCAGAACGACCAACAATGAACATTTCGGGTTCCAACTATTGTGGCTTTCCTTCTGGTGTCCCCTTACCAAAGGGGTCTCCCCAAGCGACCCCCCCATTCAAATCCAAGCCGATCCCTGGATTTGGTGGAAAAACTGTGCCACATTTGGGATCGACCCCAACTGGATTTGCAACACCTCTTCCCCTGTCCCCCTCTCCTTTGCTTGCCCCCTCTCCCGAGTTTCCCCAAAATAAGGCCAAGACCTTTGAAGAAAACCGGGGGTGATCGACCGAAGGCTGGGTGTCGGACTCGCGCTCGCCTCGGGTCACCTCCAGCTGGGCTTTTGGTAGGTTGGAGTGGGGAGGAGAGTCCCCCCAAAAAAGGGGGCCAGCCATAGGTGGCCTTTTGGAAAAATAGATGGCCCTAGTAAATGGAAGAAACTCCACCTGAACCAGTGCCATCTATTTTTTGTCAACCTAACCTAAAAAGGACACCTATGGGGCCAGCAATAAGATGAACGCCGCACACAATGACACGAGGCTTCCAAACAACTGCTCGGCTTAACAACCAACGGAAATATGCTTGGCTGTCAAAGGCATGAACCCCCGGTGATTCAGCGGATTTGGTGGAGAAAGGCATCTTCTGCAGGGAAAGGGGAAAAAAACGTGCCACTCAACCGCTATGCGTGCTGATGGATCAACTCCCCATGTCTCAGTTCATGATTTTCTCTCTTAATGGGGATCTCCAAATTGCGTGATGTCTCTTCATTTCCCATTCAACCGATCCACCAAAGTGGAAATCATGAGGGCCCCCCAGCGATGCATTGTTGCCTATTTGCCCACCAAGGGAAACCATGCGAATGGTAAGAAGGCTCCCTCCCATGATGCTGGCTCCCCACTAAACGGCATTTAGGGCATGTCCTTCAGATTGCTGACGAGTGGTTTGGAGATGTCGCAGGGTGGCTTCCCCCATTTTTCCCCACAAGAACCGAAAGGCTTCAGGCCCCAAGCCGGGCCCCAAACCGGGCCCACCAAGGGGTGCATCGACTCCGATCCCACCCGGCAGCTGGAAACCAAGCCGATTCTCTGGCTGGGGGGCCCTTTCTCCGGATTGGAGGAGTCCACACGGCTTGAAGCGGTCACAGGTGGTCCCGACTTTTTCTTGACCCGTCCTGACTTTGAAGGCCTCGCCAGGTTTTAGACTGTCCGAGCAACTAACCGATACTCCGTACCCATTGCCTAGTGGCCCTTGGACAAAACGCTTCCATACAGCACCCTTTGCTTCGGCCCTGAGGGCAACTTCCAAACTGGGTTCAACGGGCCCTCAAAAGTGCTCATAGGCGGTATGGTCTCGATGCAACCCAGGAGGGGTTTGAAGGAATCATAAAGACCATGGCCATGACTGGGGACCCTTTTTGGTGGTCGTTTCGGCGAGGAGTCATGTCCACAAACCACGTGTCCCAAATTTATAGCCCAAATTCATGTTCATGAGACGCCCAGGCCTCTTGTTGGACTGGTGTTCAAAACAAGAGGGAATGCGGGCAACCCCGGATGACCTAGAGATCCCTAAGCCTGGAGTTCTCCTAAACGGGCATTGCCAACCAAGTCATTTATTATCGGCTAAAACAAACCCAAGAATCAAACCCCTCTCACTTCCTGAGTGGATTGGCCAAAGGCGGCGGCTCAAGTGGTCACTCAAGCCCAGGAACTCAGGGAGTCACTTTGGAGCCGGCTGAGGGGCCGGGCGATCTCGCCCTCTGGCGTCTTCAAGAGCGCGGGCAGCCCATCTGACGAAGATCGTTCACACATGGGACAAGCACACGAAACAAATGGCCCGTTCCAAATAGCATAAACAAGCAAAACACAATATCTGTCTGGCTTCTTGTCGGCTCAAATCCAAACTCCTTCCAAAAGGAGTGCCTTTTTACCAACGCCAGGAGCGGATTTTGCCAAAAATGGGCCCCTTTCGAACGCGATAGCAGGCGATCACCGCCCTGCCTTCCGTGAAGTACCTTGTCGCGCATCGGCACTGATGAAACCGATGGGAGGGGGCGGGCTGCTTCCCAGCTTCCTGGGAACCAAACAAACCCCTGATTTGGGGGGCTCACCAAGACTGGAGGTGGTTGCCTTGTGGTGTTCCAATAAAACCACCAAACAAGGGGTTGCATCAAAGATTGACACTCATGTGCAGACTGGCCCTTTTTTGGATGACATCCCTTTTCCGGTCCTAGGGGGGAGGCCCTTCCCAAAATTCGAGAGGCCAAGGGAGAAAGCAAAGGGACGTTCAATTTTCAACTCCAAACCAGAAACCTTCGATTCAAACCTTCAATGGGTTCATGGTCAAGGTCAATGTAAGGTACCCGGTTCTTGACCCAATTTCTGCTCGTTAAAGGGGTTCCCCAAACGAACCCCTGGTCACTGGGTCATGAAAACCTCCAAAGAAACCTATGGATTTTCCTTGCGTAAGCCCGTCAGGTCTTAAGTTGTAGGCGATTACCCAAAGTAACACCCTCAAACAAAATACAAACCCAGAGGGGAATCCACCCTCGTCCCTAGTTCGCGAATCGAGGTCGGTGTGAGACTGGGCGACTCTTAGCCTTAGCTAAGCAGCAGGTCTACGCCATACTTCCCGAAGCCCGGCCGCACTTTGAAGACGCTGAGGCTGTTTAACGGGATCCTGAGCTCGAAGCTTCTGTGAAACAGTTCAACTGGCGGGTTGCTGGGCCGGTGGTCTGACTTCTCAATTTTGCGCAAGGCACCTGGGCCAGAGTAGATGCCACAATTCCGTCGTGGGCAAGTAAAGGGGATGATGAACTCTTAAATCAGGGAATTGAGCCATCTGCCTTCATCCAACTGTAGCTGGCTTCATAACCATGATTCCTCATTGGGTCCACCCATGATTTGCATGAAGCCCCATGGAATTTATGCAAGTTGACAGCAACAGGCAGAGGCTGATGGGAGGCCTGTGAACACGTGGCCTGGACTTCTTGGGTGGCTTCTGGTGAGCTGGGCTGGCCATGTCATCCAAAAACCAGCGGCTGCATACCAGCGGTGTGCATGGCCCCTTTCACAGGCCTCAGCGGCCTTGACCCGATCCTGTCTGAAATCGACCTGTTGCTTCCCCAAGGCGCGGGGCTTTAAACGTTACCAACCCTACCTCAAACCACCCGCTTGAACTTGTAGCCAACTTTGCAACTCACCCTGTGTACAACCCTCGCGCAGGGTTGCAGGGCAATACATAGGGGGTCCAGAAAATGTGAAAAAACAACATGACCCATCCCCTTTTGGATCCTCTTTGGGAAATTAAACATTACCTGGAGCCTCCTTCGTCACCTAAATTTCTGCTCTGAGCCCAAACCTAGCGCAAAACCAAGGGTCGTCGCCAAAATATGGCAAAAACGTACCACTTTCTCATGCTTCAAGCGTTTTTCCCAAAAGCGAGCTGATCGGTCCAAGATGGTCGGTCGCTGAGAGGCTGAGAGGAGCGCGCAGAAATCCAAGCGCAAAAGGAGCACAAATAACCGCAAAACGAACGCAAGCTAAAACAAAATAACGTACGTTTTGGGGGTCGAGCAGAAATCGGTCATTCCAGCATAATTTCTCGTACCTAGAAAAAAATAAATCCACGTTGGGTGCTTCAGGCATGGTTACTATTTGAGCTTGTTTATTGAGGGTACCCACTTTAGGCTGGCTTAGATAGGACAACAAAAGGAAGCCGCCAAAATGATTGTGAGGGCGCCATGGTTCAAAAGCCCGTACCCCCAGTGAACATCCCACCCCCACTAAAATAGACCAAAATGGGTGGTGTACCTACCCGAAAATGGGATCCCATTGGATTTGACCCACAGCCATTTTAAGACACACCCCGTTGAACACCGAAGTAGATGGACGCCCGAGTCTCCTGAAGGGGAATTCCACGCTCTCGTAGCCAGCCACATCCTTGAAGAACCAGCTGCCAGTTTCCAGCCTCGGCATGCGATTTTTCTTGAGGAGAAACTCTGTTGCGGTTGTAAACCCAGAAAGTCCAAGTACCTCCTAAGGATGGCTTTTGGGGGGTAAAAAGGAGTCTAAGTACCTCCTTAGAAGGTACTTGGACGGAAAGGAAAGCCAAAAGGAAAATCGAGAATCCTGTCTTGGGGCCTAGCTCAAACCATTGTCAACCACTCCCGATGGGACTGTTTGCAAGCTCAAAGGGTTGCCCTGTCCACGAAGGTTTATTTGGCAGTGGGTCAAAATGAAACCACCAGGAATTGGACGGCAGCTTTTAGTTCATGTTTCCTCTTACAAGGGCAACCCATTTTGGGGTTAGCCTATTTTTGACCCACAGCCATTTCTACTTCAGCCGCAAGCTTAGCCTCAATCTGCTTCAGTTGTCACCTGTGCGTTTTGCCTTATGCTGGCCTTTGTGCACCCAGACAGACTCAAAGGCCGAAAGAGGTACGTGCCCTTTGCGTACTTGGGTTGCAACCGCCTTTTGAACATGAAATCCCAGCCGGAAAAGAAGAGGGTATTGCCTGGCCCATTCAAACAACAATTAAATAATAATTATTAATAATAATAATGAAAAATAATAATCATCATCATCACGATGATCATCATGATCATCATCATCATCATCATCATCATCATCATCATCATCATCATCATCATCATCATCATCATCATCATCATCATGATCATCATCATCATCATCACCGTCACCGTCACCCTCATTATTATCGTCATCGTCATCGTCATCTTCATCGTCATCCTCCTTCTCCTCATCATCATCATCCTCATCATCCTCCTTCTGCTCATCATCCTCATCCTCCTCATCATACTCATTCTCATCCTCATAATCCTCATCCTCATGCTCGTCCTCGTCCTCGTCCTCATCTTCCCCCTCCTCCTCATCCTCATCCTCATCGTCATACCGTCGTGCGTGATCTCCAACATCACAGCTGTCCTAGGTTTATCCCATACAATACAATGAGAGAGAGACACTGACACCACTGATCCTGGGGGACTTGTCCAAATGGTGAACTGCTTGCTCGTTCACAACAGGAGTGGCTGTCGGCCTATGTTTGACAGCCTCCCCTCCTTTTGAGCCATGTTCAAATACTTTTCTCTCATACTGAACATCGCTCCTTCGATTGTGTTGAGATGCGGCGAGTCTCCCTTCTCGTCCGGAACCCCAAATGGACCCCCAAAGACTGGACGCTTACCCGGCTTTCGACAAAGGATGTGGCATTTGGTTTCCGGGTGTTCAACACTTCTGGTTGCTATTTACCGCGATTTTCAGTGGCTGTCCATGGGAAAAGTTTTCATGCCACCCTTCTTTGGTTGCCTCAAGGGAACCCTCTAAAAAATATACTTTCCATCAACAAACCCAATTTCATGCCACCCTTCTTTGGTTGGCTCAAGGGAACCCTTTAAATCAACCATGGAATCTCTAGGTCGTTCAAAACTAGGGGCTCTTCGACAGGTGTGTGTGTGTGTGTGTGCGTGCTGTTTGGTTTGCGGATGTTCAAAGCTTGTGGTTGCTATTTGCCGAGATCAACAAAGATAGAAAATGCCGCCGTTCTGTGGTTGGCTCAAGGGAACCCTTTAGATTAAAAAAAACCACCAAAAAGCACCAACAAGAAGACCATGGAATCCGCAGGTCGTCCAAAACATCGGGGCGGCCGGCTTTGAAACCTCCGGGCCTGTGGGTGCCAATGAGGTGGAACCCAATGGCGTGCTCCAGCTCATCCTCCCACTCGTCCTTTCAAAACCCGCCCGAAACCTCGGGGCTTTTCCTGTGGGTCCCTGTTCGGCTCTGGTCAAGACTCGGGTAACTCTGGGGCCACTTCCCATTTCCATTCTTTCCAGGGACCCGAATCTTTTCAGGAAGCCATCAAAAACCCAGGGGAAACAGCCGGTTTTGGCAAAGGAACGATGGTTGAAAATAATGAAGAATCAACCGGGTTGCCCAAAATGTGAATGGAAGGGACGAAAACCTGTCCATATCCTGGCGGTTGAATTTTGACCCATATTCGTAAAGGCAGAGACCCTGTTGGTGGGCGTTCTGCTTCATGGTTACAGCATACATGCACGTTTTATTAAGGGACCAATTCCTTCTGCAGGTGGCTTGGTGTTCCTTTTGGCTTCCCTCCAAAACCATACCGAAAGAGGCCGTTTACCTTGAACAACTCGGGCATAACTAACCCTGCTATCGGCCGACGAAATCCTGCACCAGTTGCTACGTGGTAGGGTAAGGATTCACTCACCATGTATCCCAAAAAAGACATTCGGAAGAAGTCTGTGAGTAGACCCCAAGGAGGTACCCTTCACATCGCTCTTAAAGGTGAAAAAACGCGACAGCCACGTGACGCTGGGAAGGGTTCCCTTGAACCACAACTTAACTATATGCCTAAGTTTCCCTGGGCGTCTGACCATTGAACCATTTACAAAGCTCCAAATCCCAGGCCACAGGAACGTCCAAACAGCTCCCAGGGTCGGTGCTAGACACAGAGTCGTGTTGAAAAATAACACATACCATACCCATTCCCTTGTGGCTCCCTTGGGCTAATTAACAACATGGGCCTCTTGCTGCACTCAGACTCCCCCCTAAGAAAACAAAAAAACAAAAAACCAGGGACATGTGACTCCCCCCCTCAAAAGAAAAAGCTTACAAAAAAATCTAACGACAGTTGACTTCCCCCCCAAAGAAACAACAACAACATTTAGGGGCAGGTGACTCCCGCCCCCAACCCCCCCCCCCAAACCCGAGTTTCTTTCGCCAAGGCTCCTTCTTAAAGTACGTACTGAAGTCCGTCATCTGCTTGGGCCACAGCGCTACACCATCCCAGGTGTGCGCGATGTCGTAGAAGCTCATAACCTCAATGGGGCCCCGGAAACCTCGCCTGGGAGTTGACCGCAACCGGGAGTGCCCCACGTTTTTGGAGGATCGCCTTCTTGGTTTGAAGGGAAACCCCATAGGAAACATCGATTTTGACACATAAGTCCAAACCGGCGAAATGGCCGCATAAGTCCAAGCCGGTGCTTTAGAACTAACTGGCTGGTCAAAACGTATGCAACCGGGGTTCGGCGCACAATCCAAAGATCCAGGGTTGGGGGTAGGGAGACGCCTTCGGCTCCAATAGGGTTTCAGAGGGCACTCTTGTAGCTGCTCCTTTGAGAACAAGATCAATACTTCTCTGCGACACATGGAATGCATGTCGCACAAAGACAGAAAGCCCCGCAACGGACACCTGATCTCTGTCTCAGCTGGACCCCGTGGGCTAACAGGCGTTGAGGTCCGAGTGGATCATGAAGAGCGCGGCTTGTGCGACTCCCTTCTTTTGGTTGGTTGACTTAAGTGACTTCCCCTCTGGACCTAAGGGAAACAGGCTTCCTGGACTCTGGAAGGCAACTTGACCCTGGCCTGTCTCCGGAACCCTCAAAACTCTCCCCGGAACTCCTCCTCGGAACCGTCTAAGCACCGCAGCTTTGCCAAGCACTTGAAGAATACTTGGAGAGTTCTTTGGATGTAGACTTTGGAGATCTCGACATGAGAGAAGGCAATCGAATTTGCACATGAGAACATTTTGCCATTGGCCGGAGCTGGTGCCAAGTTTCACTCTTCATTTCGGCGCAGGGGAAACCCACATGACTGTTGGATGTTTCCAGATCCGTTGTGATCTTGTGCCTTCTTGCACGTTCCAACCTGGAGTCCTCTTCCAGGTTCTCTTTGCTATGTCTCAATTTTAGGGGACCGTGGAAATTGTGGTTTCCTAGTGGTTTCTAGTGGTTTCCTTTGATCCTGGTCAAATTACCCACTTTCAGGCTCTTACAGAAGCGACCCGAAATCAAGCCTCGCGGACCTCCCCCAAGCGCTCCGGCGACCACTAGGGTTCCTGGGGTTTGTTAGGAAGGAAGCGGTTGGGCTTCTTGATAGCCCGAAATATTTGCTTTTGGAAGGGCCAAGGGCCTTAGCTCCCCCAATAAACAAAATAAAACACCGCAAAAAAACAAAACATGCATGAACATTGGCGCGCGCTGCCATGGAACGGCACCCCTGGTTTTCTAGAGTGCACTTGGCGTCCATTCTCCAGTTGGTTCCTTCAGAAAACCTCAGGCGGGTCATGGAGCGAAAGAACAGCTAGAAACAAAACATGGATGGACCCTCTGGTTGCTGACAAAATAAAAACATCTACGCTGTCCTCATGTCCCCGGCTAATGTTTAACTTATAATCAGCGGGTGAAATGCCCCCACTACACCCTAAACAACTAAAGTTCTAAGCGGACGGCTGGGAACCGCCAAGTACAATGATTCCATAACTTGAACTGAGGGATTCCTAGTGAAGAACAAAGTCATGCGCTCGATTCACCCAAATCATGCCATAGCAAACTGAGGACGGCGCCCAGTCTCGCTTGCTTTTGGATTTCACCTCACCCAGAACTGCCTCCCAGGTATTGTGGTTGGGATCGTCCAAGGCATCGTCGAAGCGTCCTGCAAAGAAATAGAAAACGCGCCCCGGACATTCTGGGTGCCAAGTAGGGGGTGTGGAAAAAAATGGAAAAAAACAAAACCAATGACCCATCTTTTGTGGGTTCTTACGAAAAAGATGAAGTCCAAGAAAACATGATCACCGAGGGAAGCTGGGCGACAAAGTTGATGTCTAAATCCGCCAAACCGTTGGGAAACGTTGTCGGAGTCTGGAGGTTTGAGAGTCCGGAGCGCCTGCGATGGAGTAGTTCTCCTTACTCGTGACTCGCATGCTCGATGATTAGCGGGTTGGTTTTGAAGGGGAACCAAAGGGAAAAGGTGAATCTTATCTGAAACGGGAAAGACACTAAACAAGAAACGGACATGAGGGTGATGACTGCAAAATGTGTACGGCTGACGCAGCCGGGTCTCAGCATTCATCTTCCGCAGCGCGCTGTAGAAGCACGTCATCAGCGGCAAGTACATCTTGCTGAGCGCGGGAGAGGCGAGGCGGGGTCTCTAGAAAACGGTTTGGATGCGCTTTTTGTGGATTTCACCTGTTCTTCCCTCTGTCGGTTCTTTTTCAGTACTCTTTTAGTATCTTTTTGTACTTGTTTGCGAGAGGGTCTTGGTATTTACTACTAGCCGAGGGTACCACCGCATGCATCACCATACTGGAAAATGTGGCCTCCGTCCTTAGTTTAGCCTTGGCTTGTCCAGGGATCTGCGAAGGGAGGCCCATGGCGAACGATGTGGAGTGTTTGGGAATCCGAGAAAGCCCAGTTAAAATTCAAGGGCATAGGGGACCTTGTGCAACAATTGATGGCCCTGGTAAATAAAATGACACCAATCTCACCAGTGCCATCTATTCTAAGCATCTATCTTCAGCGGTTTCTCCGATTATTATTTCCATCGGCCGGTTCAACCAGCATTTCTCTGGGTTTTGCCTGGTTTGCTGATCCCTTCAGAATGGTTGGAAGTTACTTGGCCCGACATCAGGATGGGCTTCTGGGATACTTGAAATAAGCCGGGTCCGTCTTTTTTCAAGGTACCCTTCTTCGGTGTCAAACTGTGGCTGATTGGAAGACCCCAAAAACCAGTGGACTGGTGCCAGCATGTTGATATTTCTGTCTAAGCAGTTCCCGGATTTCTCGGTCCATTGGTTTTCTGGAAAGGAGAAGTTTGCCTCCAAAGAAACCATCCACTGGAACTTCTGTGGCCGAACACTCGCCAGAAACCGATCCTTTCAACTGACACTACCAGCTGATTTCTCAGACAACCCCCCCCCCCCGTTCTTTGCCCCAAGTCCATGCGCCTCAGGACGATTCTCGGCACCGCAGCCTTCCGAAGGCGAGACATGCGCCATAGCTGGAGGGCGCTTAAAGGGCAACCAACTTGAAACCATTCATGTGCGGGTCTTGGGGTGGGAAGCTCCCACACACGCATTGCCAAATACAAATGCTTTCCAACAAACGCAACCATACAAAAAGACATGTTGTTACCCCCATCAAATACTTCGTTCTTCAAGAAGACATCAACGCGCTGAAGTTCCCACTAGCAAAAAGCCGCATGAGTTCGGCACACAAACGCAACCGTGTTGTGCCCAGTGTGCCCAGCAAGCGGAAAAGTGTTGTGTCGCCAATCTCGTGACTTGTCACCATAGTTCGCCCTGCGCACCTGGCTCACACTCAGATGGCACCCGCTGAAGAATTTTCTCGGTTGCTTTCTGCTCCCCTGCTAAAAAGCGACTGACTTTTAGTGGTGTAATACGGAAAACCCATTAGTTGGCAAAAAAAAAGTCCGAACATCCATGCAAAATGCACCAAAGTCTTGATGGCACTCGTCCAGTCAGGGCTCAAAGGAGCAACACCATAGGATTGGTTTGATGTTTCCATGGGCAATGGAACTTCCGGAGCCAAAACACATACGCCCTTCGTAATTACTACCCAGGAGATGGATGTCGAAATGGCCAAACCTGTGATGCTAAAATCCAAGAGGAACAGACAAGGACCCCTGTTCACACCAGGCGTAATATATATGGGCTACACTCAGCCTTTCATCAATAGAACTTCCAATATCCGAGTCTCCGATGAATCCACTATCGTCTGTAAGGAGACCAAAAGAATGACACTGACAATGCCAAGTAACAGCAACCAGCAGTTGGTGTATCCCAACTGTTGTCCAAAGTACTTTCCCCCCACCCACCCCCACAAAAACAGCAATCAACAAAGGATTGAACAACGAGACACTATGAGTATACGAGTCTCCAAAAAGTGGATTGAAGAGAAAAACAACCCCCAAAGCCGCCGAACCCTCTGCGCGGGAAGTGGGACCCAGGCAACTACCCCTTGCTCATACCGGTTTCTGATCTTCTTGTCGCCAACCACATGGATATGTACCCATTTTGCGGCGAGGGCTATGAACAAGCCTTGTGTCCTGTTCCAAAAGTGTCAAGTGGATATTTACACACACATCTACTCAACCTCGACATTCAGCTTGTCTAAATCATCGGCGGCTTTCCGCGCGGAAGAGCGCGAAATCCCACTCCGAGTGGATTGCTTTCAAGGCTTCTATGTGTGTTTGGGAATTTCCACTCGCCACATACCAAATGAGCCTGCAACCCTTGTTTTGAAGCTTTCGTGTAAAGCCACGCTGGGAAATGCGGAGGTTCAAGCCTCAAATCCACTTAGTGCTTCCAGTCGCCATGGTGGGTAAGGGAAAACCTCCCATAAAACCTAGTACTAAACGTATCGAAGGGTTCACTACCTGGAACTGGGGTAGACAGGAATCCACCGTCACCACTTGGTTCTGGGCTTCTCCGCCTCGAACCAGTAAAAGTTCGGACTCCCGTCTGGGTCATAGTGGGGCACGTGCACGTTCTCCACCTCATCTTTGAATCGAATGCGTGCTATTCGGTTCCCTCCTTTGAGCTTCCCACCGAAATAACCCCAGCAAAAAAACACGTCAGCTTGAACAAAGGCACTACGCCCACAATTTCCCTTTGAAACAGCCAACATAAGGGTACCAGCTCAAACAGTGGCCACCCACCTGAGCTTGTTGCCGATTTCCTGACGCACTTCACTTCGACGCCGGCTGATTTGGAATGCTCGCCGCTCGCCTGCTTTTGAGACAAACCCATCTGATTGGGCGGTCACCTTCAACAACCCGAAACGGATGCCCCCAACAAAACAGACAAACCCAACCAACTTGCAACTGCTGATGCAGTTTTGGTTTAGGGATGGCTGCCTAGAGAAGATATCGAGGGCAAGGATTCCTCACTAAGAGGCCAAGTGGGGGTGCTTAGAGGGGAAAGCCAAAAAAAACACACGTGCGCACACAGACTCATGTCACAAGCAAGCAAACAAACACACAAAAAACCACCAACCAAGCAAACAAACAAACAAACACAGAATGAACGAACGCACACAAACAAACAAACAAACAAGCAAGCAATCAATCAAACAAACAAACAAACAAACAGGCAAACAAACAACACACGCAAGATAAATCAAACTGGGCAAAGCACAACAACCAGGCACAAACACATACAGAAAAGGCTTCTGATGTGGACAAATCAAACAAATCAAATTGACGGAACAAGAATAGAGGGGTGCCACAGGGGGAAATCCCAAAGGCGAAGGACCCCCCCAATGGGCTGCTCTCCCTGTTCATCCAAATTGGTACTCAGCTGCCCAGTGACCATGGGAAAAAAGGCATGCTTCTTTGGTTGGTTGACTTTAAAGGGGAACCCTTCCCCAAAAAAGGAAAAAGGGCACCACTGGGCATGTGGGGGGTATGATCAACAGATTTGTTGCACCAAACCTGATCTCACGATAGGCCAAACAAGTCTAAGCCATTTGGTCGAGCCAAATCACCTTGATTGGTACGGGCTGTTCCCCCCAACCTACCTGCCACCTCCGGGCCAAAGCAACCAAAAGTCTAGGAAAGGAACTCGGGAGAGCCCTTCAATGATTCATGTCCACCACAGGCGGTTCCGGCAAAAGTTCACGGCCATCTCAGCTCCGGACTTTTAACAGATCTTCGGGCGCCAGCATCTCCGTGGGGATGTTCACGTAGGACTGTCGGCTCGCCAAAGGAAACCCGCTCCATGTCAGCAGGAACAAAACCAATTTCACCAAACCCTCCCCACAGGACAACCTTCGAACCCCCCGATCACCCGCCGTACTGATCCTTGTTGAGGCATGGCCTTTGGAGAAAGCCAGGCCTTGAAGAACTTAGCTTAGGTTTTTCTTGCCGGGGGATTGAATGTTATGAAGAAAATGCGAAAGTTCCCGCAATATACACGCTGAATGTTGTGCACCCCTGATGTTTGTTGGGTATTTCGTGAGGCACTTCATCTCCATCTCTAATTCACCATGAGCAACTGCATGTTTCGGCCGATCCTCAATTGCAGTGAGGAGTCCATAAGTTCTTGGTTGCTTGACTGCGGCAAGTAGTCAATATGCGACCAGTCAATACGCAAAGAAAACACCCGCAAGCCCGCAAGCCACCAGGACCCTGTGGCCGTGGGTTGTGTATAACTAATTCCAAGCCCCAACTTTGGCCTCAAACATGCTTTCGAGCTCACCGATTCGTACGAGGAAAACTCAGAATGACCCTTCACTTGGGAGAACCAATTCTCATTTCAGGCTTTGGAAGTTAGCATTTGCATGTTGGCCTTCTTGTGCAGTTGGCTGGTTTATCATGGTTTCCTTGAAGGTAACAGCAAGCATCAAAATTCAAGGAACCTCGAAGGGTCTGTGGGGGTGCAAAAATGGCGTCTTTAGCTCTTGTGGGCTGCATGAAGGGCTTCTCCTAGGGCCAATGATCAGTAAAATTAGGGCCCAGCCAACAGTAAGACCCGTTTGAGAAGGCTTGTTCAGAACTAGGTCCTCCAGTAGAGAGGATAGAATAAGGGTACCCTTTTTTTTCGGTAGTCCATTTTAGTAGGGGAACACTTCCCCGAGAAATGGTAAAAGGGCACTACTGGGGGACATGAGAATCTTTCTTGGGTTTGTGCGCGGCGTTTGATTGCTTTCCCAAGACTTCTCCTCAGGAGCTCCCGTAGACCTCCCGAGGACCGTGATCAATATGAGCCAACCATCTGAGTCTCACAGGCAAAAAGAAAACAAAAGACTCCAAACAACCAAAGGCACCATGTCAGGACTAGTCAACGCAACTGCCTTCTTCGAGCAAACTAAAAGAACTCTGAGGCTGACAGCCTCCGTCATTTTGGGGGGGTCCCCTAAACTGGTTGGTTTCTGTTTAAGAATCCCATTTTAAGCAGCTCCCATGCTCATACACACCTCAAACGTCTCCCCAAAACTCAAAGGATCCAAAGGGCCTCGAGCCGATCCGCCCGCCTCTTCTGCTTTTGGTTTGGTGTGACAGTCTGCTAACAATTCAGGGTACACTTAAAATACATGTGGCCATGAGTCAGAACCTATGCCTCCATTTTGAAGCGGATGAACACCCATGTACCACCTATTTTGATGTTCACCAGGGGTTTTGACCCACAGCCATGTTGAGATTATCTTCCAGATTTTCAATTAGCGCCAGAATGCAAGTGCCTCACGTTCTCAGCGACTGTCCCGTGCTCGCCTTGTCCCTCGTCTTGTACATGCCAAGCAGGACGCGACCTATGATGGTCATCACTGCCGCGGTGTACCTCGAGCTGTTGCCGCGGGAGAGCCGGGGGGGAGGGGGTGTATCCTTGGCTAAGACAATGAATGAATCTGAAGAAGCACCCTCAGATCAGGGAATCCTTGCCTGTGGAATATCCTGCGGTTTATCCAGGGATACACACTACCTTGCCTGGAGGTGCATGACGTTCTGAACCCAGGGATCTATGTGCCAATTTCCTGAGGTTGCTCCAAAACCTGGCTCGGCACAAAGAATAACAAATCGGGCCCTGGAGACAAGCAGCACTCAATGATTCCTGCTGGCCCCCAAATTCGGCAAGCCGTCAGAAACCTCTTCACACCGACAGGATGTTTAAAAACATGCTTCATAGTTGGCCAACCTTGCAATACAACGCATATCTTGCGTTCAGACCCCAGGTAGTGTAAACATTGAACGCTGGCAGCACTTTGGATGCTGAATCCCATAGATCTCACTTCAGGGTGTGTGCCAAAAACAGGGTTACCCCCCCCCGCTACAGAAAACCACAACATGGTGAACGCCTGTTGGTGTCCCTTTAAACCGATCTGAAACAGGTGCCCCCCTGGCTGTCAACTGGTCCCCAAATCAGACCGGAGCTCGTTTAAGGAGCACAAACGATAGATGTTGGGGGGCCTGGCTTGTGTTTGAACTCAAGCATGGTAGATCATTGTAGCAGTTTGGGATTGGGAAGATCATGCTTAGTGGCAAGCAAGGAGTTTGGGGCCGTTTTTGTTTGCCGTATTATCTTTCCAACAATCATGGAAGCTGATGGAGGACTTGGTGAGACTACTTTCCTTGGAAGGCTTTTTGGCCACCAATGCTGGTCCTTGGTTGATCTGGCAACATGTGAATCTATGAAATGGTCCTGTGCACCTCCACAAGGCTCTCATGTACGTAACCATAGTCCATACGGATTGTTGATGCGTTCGTCTACGTAGCTTCCTCATATCTCGGGAATTCCCAGCACCTGACGTCAAGAGACTTGCGTTCCATCTGTTGGATTCGTATTGGTGTGCTATTTTGTTTGCAGGGGACTCACCAAAATTGGTGGTTGTCCTTTTCGTTTTCCGATAATTCATACAACCAAAAAAGGGCTACCCTCAAAACAAGACAGACCCATATCCCATGAAACATTGAAGCTTTTGACCTACGCCATGAGCCCCCCAAATGGGGCATGTGGAATCCAAAGATCCAGGAGCCGCTTTTCCGCCAAGCGGAAGCAACTGGGACCCCAGCTCATCTGCGAAGCTCTCCGGATGAACACCTCCGGTGCGACTGAATCGATCCAGGCAAATATGGCTGTGGCTCAATGGTTGCCCTGGAAAGTGGAAACATGGACCAAAACCCGCGGTTTGCCCCTCCTGTTCAATTTTGAGCCACATCCATATCAAGCCGGGGACCATGGCAAGGGCCGCAGACTTTTGACCTGGATCTTCATCTAACAAAAGCTCACCGATGGATGAAACCCGAAATGAAACCCGAAATGAAACCCGAAATGAAACCCTGCGATACATGGGAGAAACCACCTAGCAAATATGGCGGGAAGCGGATGTTGTGCATCAGTCTGAAATGGTGCAATTGCAAACACGCTTCTCACCTGCTGAGTGCACAGGAATAGATTGAACTTTATGGCCCGTGACGAAATAAAGAAGCCAGCCAAAAAAAAACAAAGGTTGTCCACCCAAAGGATACCCTCGGCGAGGTCACAATTGCATTTGCTCCGAACCTTTTGGAATGAAAAGGCGCCCTACCAGGCAAAACCCCGCATGGATCTGAGGAACTACAAGCATTCCGACCAACACATATATACACTCGGTTGCTGTCTGCTCTCCTGCTAAAAGTTTAACTTTCAGTGGTATGATGGGAAAACCCATTAGTTCGCAAAATGTGAAAGTCCTAACATCCAAGCAAAATGCACCAAAGAACAGGCAACCGCCTTTGCATCGGGGCCTTGCTTGGATGGGCTTCGCCAAGTGGACGACGCAGCTTCAATTCCGAAACAAACAAAAAATCACATGGCAAGGTGTCTAGGCAACTTCCTCAATGTGTTGCGACAATTTCTGAAGAGGCTTTTGTTTAGAGACAAGGCAATACAGTGACGCCATCCTGCACACAATGCAACACGATTTAGGACGATTTAGGCAAGTCCCGACAATACACTCACCGCAAGTGAGGAAAATCCCCACAAAATGAAATTAAACTTGCATGAACTCGGCTTCCCCCAGGTGAGCTTTGAGCAGAACAACAGTGCTGCCAAATATCCATGTGTCACCCAACACCACGCGAGGACTAGCTCCATTAGACATAGTCCATATTGATTGCGCCCACCACTGGCACTGGTGAAGTAACCCTCTAAGAATCAGCCAGCTATGGAAACGACTTCGGTTTCTGTGACACCCCTGTGTTTCAGCCGACAAGTTAATTGCCTTGCCCTGGGAATTCCGAAAGCCACCCATAGGGACATGTGTTTCCCAAGATCGGAGGTGAACGTTTCCATCTGAACTCAAAACGCGAACGCCTTAGCCCACATGAGGCGTTACACAGGAAGTACAACTTCTGGCTGTGCATACTTAGTACCCTTCCTCCAACTAACATGGCACCTGCGAGGTATTTGGAAGATTCATTTCCTCTTGAAGGGAGCCCCTGTCAGTTGCCATGTCAGGAGGGAGGGTACCTCTGCAGCTAACTGGAGGGCAACCATCATGTACCGAGTCAGCCCGAGGTACCAACCAAAACGAAACCCACCTGAGCGCCGGGCCGACGGGCCAGAGGCTCCTCAGTAAGCAAAAGCTTGTCAAAAGGGCTTTGCTAAGCTTTAAGAAAGCCTTCGGTCAAGCAGGCCTTCAAAGGGGACATAAACAAAACAAACGGGTTTTAAAGGACAAGAGATTGTGGAAGGGATCTAACTCAGGGGCTTTGAAAGAGTTTCTGAATCAGCCAGGTTTCAAAAAGCTTCACAAGCGAAATTGCCGAAACCAACCGGTACCCCCCTCAGGTACTCCCTCTTACCAAATCCCATCAGCTTGCAAGGTTCTGGTACCTGCCCGCTACACGAGCCCAATAGTCAAAGTTGCAAACGCTTTCCACAAGAGAGAATGGCAAACTTAGGGTTCGTCCCCAGGATTTGTCTATGTCAAAATCCCCCAAATTGACCATCAGCCAGGAAATCCGCCTGGTTCGATGAGTTAGTTTAGACACGGGTTGTATGCCATTTACCAGGAAAAACCATCTATCTTTACCCAAAGGACGCCAACGTTTGCTCTGGGCTCTGGAGACCACAGCTTCGGGAAGAACCCAGTTGCGGTTGAGTGCCTTTGGCGGGGGTTGGGATCCGTCTCACGAAATGGCGAACGGGACACTCGATCCGAATCCGCCTGTTCACCTCTGGCCTGCAACTTGCTTGGCCTGGGCCTTAGGCTCATAAATCCCCTCCCCGCCTTGTTTTGTAAATGAGGTGTTGGAAGTCTTTGGCGCGTCCTGGCCTCCTTTTGGCCTTGTTTCTGGGTCCCAAGGTCTCCCAAAACTGAGGCTCCAGCACCATGGACATTGTCCCAGCCAGGCGCTTGATGATCTTCAAGACCCACAGAGTCGCCGGGGTCAGCGGCGAGTCGTAGAGCGGGCACAGCTTCTGCATGTCCTGCCCCATCTCGGACACTGTCTTTGACAACAGCCAACAAGCAACAACCAACAGCCAGCAACAGCCAACCAACAACCAACCAACAACCAACAAGCAGCTAACAACCAACAGCCAACAACCGACAACCAAAAACCAACAACCAATACACCAGCCAACAACCGAAAACCAACAACCAACAACTGCAGTTCCAGGATGATGGAGAGACAAGGTATAGAGAAGTTCTTAAGCCACCTGCCAACTAGACTTTGTGATTTTCCCGCTGGCTTTCAAAACGTGGAGAAATCCGGTCACCCAACAAAGCAGGGTCAAGGGCTCTCCGAAGGAACAAAACACGAACAAAAACACCTTCGTTCGACGCAAATGGACCGCCAACCCGAGGAGTTGTCCCAAGTGTCTCAAAAATGGGTGGCCAACCCCTGGTTTCTACTCAAAGAAAAAACACTTGGAGTCTCCATGGCCCAAACATGGGGTCATGACCCCTGATATTGGGTAGAGATCAATGAGTGGTGAAAAACAACGTGGGTCGCTCGGGTCTCCTGGAAAATGGTCATGCTGTGGATGGACGAAATCCGATTGCACCACTTTGACACCATCGGAAACCAGTATTTGTTCATATTTAGACGGTATCATCAGAAACCAGAGTTTCTTAGGTGGTGCACGATTTCGTGCATCCACGGTATTGCTTCTTAAACAAAAGACAGTGTCTTGACATTGTGGTTCGTTGACCTTGCTAAAAGTCATCAGTTGCAAATCCCAAAAGAATAGCGAGCTTTACTTGAAGGTTCATCGCCAATGCACCAGAACTGCAAGCACATTCTGAGCGGCGCCGCTCGTTTTGCCACCTCTCTCACCTGCTACAAGCCATCTATAGGCCCAAATTGTCATCAACTGGGACACCCTTGAGCTCTCTGTGTTTGAAAGGCAGCCACCTGCGGAAGTTCCCCTGAGGTTGGATTACCTGTGACACAGACTTTTGAACAGTCCAAAAGAAACTCCACGTTTCAGCGGGTGTTCTTGGGTCTGTCTTGGCATCGACGTCTGGATTGATTTCACGGTAACTTTCGAGAGAGCACCCTCTCTCTCATATGAAAGTGGGCATGAGGTTTATATGTTCGGCAATGTCGCAAAGTTCCCTCGGCTTCCGTAATTTGTAGGGGGTTTTGCTGCCCGGGAACCCACACGCAATTCCGAGGCTTGCAGTATGAAGCCAGGCGCATTCTTGTTGCATGACAGAAGCTCCAGTATTTAGCAAGCACTTTGAACATCCAAGTTGGGGGACCCACCAAAAAATGTGTTGTTCCCTGGGCTTCCCTTTAAAGCCTTACAAGGAACCCCCCCCCCGCACAAAAACGCACAAGTAGAACCAAGCCTCCCTGCCAAATGGACACGTCACCCCTTGCTGTAGCCTCAGCAACGCCATCCAACTCCACCGCCAAAGCTTCTTCCGTGATCTGTTGCGGCACGCTGCACTTGCCTCGCATGGAGCTGCAACAGTCTTGCTGGTGCTCAGTAGGGAATGAGGGAATGAACCTGACAATTCCCTTAAAGGAAACCGCTAGTTGGATGGTTTGTAGGGACCATTCCCTCTTTCCTTGCTTCTCCATTCTTTCAAGGGATCCTTCTTTTGAGGAAACCATCCAGCAACCCAGGGGAAATACTTGGTTTTTCAAAAAAGAACGATGGTTGAAAAGAACGGGGAATCAACCCCAAGAAAAATGCAATATGGGGTTGCCTAAAAGTGGAGGAACTTCCAAAATGGGTGGTCATCCCCTTGGTTCCCTTTAAACCAGGCCAACAAGTCATCCCCAAAAAATCAATCCTGGATGGACGAAATCCACTTCGCACCAATTGGCATGAATGAAGCCGTGCACCAAGGTAACCACCTAGTATGCGAAGTGTTGTTTGCCCATCCACCTGCCAAAACCTGCATCAGGGTCCCCAGTTTATTTTTGCGTAACATGTGCAGAGTAAACAAAAAAAAGCCTCTTCTCTTGAAAGGCAAAGCGCAAGGCCCGGAGATCCATTTCACTGAACAGTGAGCTGGTTTCATCTCTCTGGCGACAGCCTCGTAAACAGGGATCCCACAAGGAACCGCCCCCACTTTGGGGAGCTCCGATTTGTTGCCGTTCCCGGAAACCCCCATGTAGGTGGTGCACTTAGCTGATGCACTTGTGGTGGCATTGAATGTTCAGCGCTGGCTCCCAGCTGCGAGCGCCACTCGAGCCCGCGCGCTTTTAAAGTTCTCGAGCCCTCGCCGCGTACGTAGGTTGTACAGATAGTCCACCAACCTCTCCCATGTATGAGCAGTCTTACAACCTCAGGCGAAACATCACCCGTTTATGGGGGCATCTACAAGGGGGGGTTGATTCATGGCCTTAATTACTAACCCCTCAATGACGGCATTGTCAAGGGCTTATCCTAGACTTGTCCTGTGCTCCAGGGATGGACCTATAGACCCCATATAGACTGGTCGGGCTTCGGCGCAAGTAACACGCGTTGGGGTGCCTAAATGCAATCCAGCTGCGATTGTCTTCCCACAAAGCTGAAAGTCCAGGAACTCGCGGGACGAGTAACGGGCTGTAGCACAGCATCGGACAACAAAGAAAGGCTGGTTCACTTAGACTCCCCTACAAAACAATCAAAGGATCCCCTTTAAGGGAGTCCCCCCCGGGGACCCAGTGGGATTCCATGCGATTTGGCAGGCAGAGTAGCTTCGATCTTAGAGCTGCGCGGTGCCTTTGGGCGATCGGATTTTACGGGGAATTTGGGGTCGGGCTAGGCTTCCTTCCCAAATTCAAAGCAGACCCAGAATTACATTCCTGGAGTTTCACGGCCCACATACGGAGTCATGACCCCTGTTTTTGGCCATGCGCAAAACAAGCCAAGTCGAGCGCTGTGCCTTTAAAGTTTCAGGGACCCTTTTGAAGTGATTTGCTGAGAGCCTTTGAATCCGCTGTTCGAGAACGGCCACGCCTGATGCTTCCTCGGATGCAGAGCACGTGCCCTCCTGTGTTCGAACAAGGGGCAGGCGGACATTTGCCCAACCCGAACTCGGCAAAAAGGGGGGTGGTTTAGCAGAACACAGGAAGCACCCAGTTCTTTGTGCTTCCTGTCTTTAGGCCCCAGCTGTTTAGAGGAAACACGGCCAATCATGAAGGAACTAAGGATACCGCATGCCACTCAACAGGGATGCTGGACTGCAGAGGCTTTGAATCACCAGGACGGCAAACATGAGTGGCCCATGCTTACAGTCCTTGACAGAGTCTTGAAAAGGCGACCAACATGAAACCAGGTAGCCGTGACATGTGAATTTGGTCAAACGCAACCGGCTAAATGGTCGTGAAAGGAACTAGTATCGCCGCGTGAAGAATTCCCGGGTTCAGAAAAGCCGTGCGAATGAAAAAAGGAGGGACGGGCAAATCCTCTGTGACGGGCCTTTAGAAGAGTGCTGAACACCTTTTTGCGGCTTGGGAGGCCCCAATTTCTCTCCTGAGACATGCGTATATTACATAGACCAAGCGGTTCTGTGGAATGCCCATCCACTGAAACTGGGTTCCTTATGTATGCCCTCTTCCAACACGGCAAACACACGCCGAAGATTCAAATCACCCAGGAAGTCAAATACTGAGATGGACCATCCGAAAGGGGATCCATCTCAAATCTTAGGACACCCTCAACATAAACATCCGAAACCGAACAGAAATGGATCTGTGCTATTTGCGGGAAACCTTTTCTATCTTGGTCTGAAGAGAAACCCAACAGGAATACCACCCGGTTTATGGTCAACATATTTGGCCATGGGTCAAAATCCCGTACCCCCAGTGAACATCCCAATCCCCACTAAAATAGACTAAAATGGGTGGTGCACCTACCCCAAAATGGTACCATTGGTTTTGACCCACAGCCATTTTGCTACACCAAATAAATATTCGAATCAAGGCCCCCATGCATCTTAGAGAGCTGAATTCGGAGGACCGAGGGTTTGCAGTTGCAGCAAGCCTCTCCCAAAAAACCAGCATGTGTCTATGAGTTTGAATGCGTAGTTGGAACAACCTCCTGGAGCACGGTTGTGAAAGGACAGAAAGGGGTCCAACCAAATCAAACTATTCACCCTTTTTAGATGGTTCCAAAGGGATGTCAACAGGGAACTAGCCACCTGGAGATTCCAATTTCGACACGAAGGAAGCCCCACGCACCCATGGCTGTACAGAACCCCCCTGTGTGCTTTTGCCGAGTCAAGGACATAGTCCTCGTTGATTGCATACTCAGTACTCGGCTCTTCACGATGATCTCATGTCCGGAAAGCAGTTTGCTCTGGTGGGCAACCTCTGCGCTTGAAAGATCCGGTGGTAACCTCTCAGCTGCTAAGTTGGCCCAACATGGGGATGATGCCAAGAGCGGAATATCAGTCCGAAGTTGTTCTTGCCAAAAGATCCTTCTCTCAAAAAAACAAACGCAAGACTCTTCAAGACTGAATTCCAAAAATGTTCGGGGAGTGAGCTGAAAAAAGGTCCAACACGGGAACTGAGGAACGTCTCGCGGCGCTCGACTTGTCCTCCCCGACCTGAGCAGCCCAAAGCGGAACCAGCAGGAGACCTGGCCCGGACAAATCGCAAAGTTAGTAGTCATGATTATAACCCTCTGAGCGGACTTACCATGGCTTCAGGTTTCTTACCATGGTTGACACCTTTGGCTGTGGCGTGGCAAAGCTACCTGGCCCGCCAGGCCAATTCAAGGGAAGTGCCAACCCCTCGGTTTTTGAAACTGCAAAGACCGCAGTTGTAGGACAGTACCCAAAACCCTAAAAACCATTCCCTGCCTCTCAACCCAAAACATAGAATATCAACTATATCGTTTCAGTAAAGGGCAAAGGTCTGCAAACAAATACAGCAATGTTGAATAACTGAAATCAAATATTATACGTTTGCAAGGCAATGACCTACATCATAGTGAGCTCGCTTCGCCGCCAGGGTTGGCAGAAAGATGTAAGGCTGCCAATTCAGGATTGCCGCTGAACAGCAATGTTTCTTGCTTGTTGAAGGACCCCCCTGCTTGCACAAACTAATAACTGACGCGTGGACACTGCTGCCCTGGCTTCCCATTGTCTTTGACCAAGTACGTCCTCAGAAGGTGCCAAGGAACCCTCCAAGAGCACACACTTCCTGAGGCTTTCGTTGATTATTTGGAAGTACCCGCTCACACCCGAAAGAGGCAAATCCCAAAAGAGCACGGTGTTCCCTTGAACCACACTTCTCCTCAAGGAGCCTCCGGCATCGTTCTCTGTTGAATTTGTATTGGCAAAAACGAACAGGTACTGGAGATGTTGAAGCATAAAACAGCGGCTCTCCTTCGAAAACCCTCAACCCCAGCAATACACGCACACAACAGGAGAAACCACAGCAAGCTCGCCAGCGGAGCTTTGCTGGCCCAAGAACTGTTCCGTGCTCGGAGCTGAGAATTGAAGATTATACAGAACCCTGGTCCCCCCCTTGTTTCCGCCAAACAATCTGACATAACGCATAATCAAGCGCTTGCTTGAGGGAAGGGGAAAAGAGGGAGAGTAAGGGGATGCCACCTCAGCTTTTGCCCTCAACTAATGTCATGTTTAGATTGTGGTGCATATGTGGCTCATTGTGGCTCTACACTTCAATCGCCCTCCTCAAAAGTCGCTGGTGGTAAATCATGATGGTTAAAGGATCCGGGACCCATTGAAATTCGTACCCATGCCTCAAAATGTAAAGTTATGCTAATGCTGACCCCTCATCAAAAAATCCCGACTATGATTACGGGACCCTTTTTATTTTTATTGGGAACCTTTCCTCCAGGGGGACCCCCTGAATAATGACTGAGGGCCGACTGAGGCGCGGAGACAAATTAGGGGTCAACATTACTTGAGTGCCCCAGTCAGGGATAAACAGATCCGCCATCTCCGCACCCCCGCTGCTGTCGGGCCTATAACCAGCCTGGGCGCAGGCGTTCGGATGAGGCATTTGCCATCCCAACGAACCCAATCCGCAACCTGCTTGCCAAGCCTTAGGTTGGCCAAACGCTTCATTGTTTAGTTTCAGGGGTGTAACCACGGCAGCCAAGGATTGGAAGGGGCAGGTCTGCAGCCGATATGGCCGACCCCTCCCCTCACCTGAAAAAGAAGAAGAAATAAAGTATGTCTACTTCCAGATCAGATTCAGTGGATTCTTGCTGCTTAGAGATCAAGAGTGTGTGTGATTCCTAAAACAACAACACGTCCAAACAGCTTGCTTCCCGCGAAACTGGTTGCCCCAGAACCTACAAAGTCCAAACAACGCGGGAAAAGGGTGATCCGCACTTTTTCGCCACACCGCCAAACCCGAGGCAAGACCAGACCTCCTTAGAAGACTGTCCGGGCCTGAGCTTCGCTGGGGAAGCATAGAGGGCAAACAGTTGGGGCAGCAACGAAAGGAGCTCATAAAGAAGCCAAGTCAAAACTGCCGAAATGTCGGGTAACGGTATGGTCATGTTATGTTTTATTGTTTTAAGGAAGCCGCGCCGATTAATTTGTGTTGTAGGTCCCTTGAAAGGTCAAAAAACCACTTCCAACTCAAGCAAATGTGTGTCTTGACAATCGCATTGACCAGGCCTCATCATCCTGTTTGAGACAAGCTAGCTGCCAATGTACACCTGCGAGGAGCCACTCACCATTGAAGAAGTCGAGACTTTCCCGCAACACCAAAGTACTTGGACCCTCGCTTGGTCCCTTTAGGTTGCTTGATGAGTTTTCGCGGACGAAACACCTACCACCCAGACCCAGATCCACCGATCGGCCTCCGCATTGCCATGCCCGCAACAAAAACAGCCCGGCTGGCACAGAGATGCGCAAATGTCGTCGCACTGGAGGTGCCCAGCTGGACGTCCCAAAGTAGAAGTTGACTACTCCAACTGCGGTTTCCGTAAAGGGAAAATCAAGGATCCCGAATTTCGAAATCGAGGAAACACCGCATGAGGGGTGGTAAATAAAATAAAAATAAAATATGGGGCGTGTGTTGAACATGTCATTTGCACTCTGCTTCTTTTCTACACCCACGAGTAAAGCGTGCATCTGCGAACATGCCAGCGAATGCAGCAACCAAACAGAGTCAGCTCTCTCCGAACTGCTTGAAACAAAAACCTGTGGACGGGCTTGTCAGCAAGCGCTGGCTGCATCCAATCTTGGAACACACATCCAGGTGAGGAATCAAGCAAGAAACCTTTATCGGCCCATTGTACTAGGTGACCTCGCTTCATGTTCTTGTTGCTCAAATCCCGGAAGCTGAGCCAAGACGAGAGGTGCGAGCGAGTCATTGCCCGAGGTCCCATGAAATATGGGGCCTGTTGAGCTGTGGTGAAATTCACCTGGGCAAAGAACACGGCAGCTGAGGCTTGCGAATTGTCCTCTTGGATTTGTTGATTGCATGTAATGCCGAAGGTGTGGCTAATTTTGGCATCACTTGCCATTGGTACAAACCACTGGTATCAACACTTCTTATGAAACGAGTGCAAACAGGAACAGCATTGGAGGTTCCAGGTACCACGGGGACCCCCCGGGCTTGCCAACAGAGATTGACCCTATGGATCTCAATACAGCGGGATAGTGGACCAAGGATTTCTCAGATAGAAACCTTGGCTCCACAAACATGCTCAACTTCTTTGCTCAACTTCTTGGGGTGCTGGATGGACTAATCCAATAAAAGTAATCACCAAGCAGGGATGGCTCTAATGTATGCTTTCATATTCGTAGCGTCTCAACAGCGGATAAGTCATACTGATTGACTTGGACTGACTACGTAACCTAAGGAGAGCCGCCTTTGAATCATTGAAAGGCAACTTCATCACAGGGTCCCACATCGGTCGCGAACTCAATCTCTTGAGGTCGATCGCTTTCATTCGATGGATCTTGTCACGTGAAAACAATGGCAGCTTGATGTGCCTGGCACTTAAGACCATCCTACACACTCTGTAGGATTTGGAGCCCTGAAAGTGAGTGGCTTTCTTTGGGCACCCCTTCCAAACGCTTTCCATCAAATACTCTGCAACATCACCCCACCTACAGGATCTCACCTGAAACAGCATCAACACCTGGTACCAAAAGAGTCTGCCGAAAACTTTGTGTAAATCAAAGGGTTAATGTCCACACCATGTGGCTCACACTGCCCCCTGCCCTTTTCACCATATACGGAAGTGTGGGACCCCCGCACCCACATGTTCTTGGGACTGCAGTTCAAACCTTCAGGTTTTGATGCTCCTCACCTGATTAAAAGTCGTATTTTTAGTGGCTTGAATGGAAGTACCACCAAACCCTACAAAGCCACAAGCCTAAGGGGATGGCTGGGAACCACCAACATGCCCCCAGACCTCAGACCCATGCTTGTAGGGTCGACTTCCCGCTTGGGGCCCAACTTCGCACTCCGCCTCGGAGCGGGCAAAGTGCCCATCCCAGTAGTGTGGTTTGTTTTGGAGGGTATTGTTTTGTTGACCAAAAACCATATTGTTGGAGGTTTCTTATGTTTATGTATTGTGCTTTCACTTTTGGTCATTTGCTTTCATACTTGGTCATTTGGTCATACTATGTCAACTTTAAAACCACGAAATATGCTTGGGGAAGACCCCAGTTTTTCAGGCTGGCTAACAGGAAAACCCAAAGAAATCCATCCATTGGACCTCCCTGAAGAGCCTTGGGGGCCGGCTATCCCTGGATAAGCCTCGGCTAAGCCAAGGGGAAGACTTGAACTCACCTCTTAAACGTCACTCCAAGAGGTTTCCTCTCATCACGTGGCTCGAAAGGTGATGCGTGCACCAGCTGGAAGGAGACATATAGGGACCCCCTGCAGGGACTTGAGGGAAAAATAGGCGATCACGCTCGGGATGTGAGGTGCAAAACTTCCCATAGACCGAAAAGAGGACTCCTTTCATACTAAGCAGACTTTTCGGACCATGATTCAGGCGATTAGTTCTCTAGCCGTTGGTTAAACACAGACCTCCTGCAAAATGCAAACAACAAAGTCAGGCGAGCACGTCATTTCCAAAATCACAGAGGGAAAGTGGAGGTGTCTTGGGGTTGAAAGGGAGACCAAAGTTCAACCAACCATGTTGGGGTTCTCCTGTCTTAAGATAAACCCAAGGTCCCAGTATGTCCGGGCATGGTAGTAACCCTAGCTCGCGAAGCAAGGCAAGCTAGGGGGGCCTTGCTAAGCACCCCGCTAAACACAATTTGCGCGTTGGTCAAGGCTGGGATGCCTGGCAGAGGATATGTATGCTTCACCCAAACCGGCGCGCCCGGTTTGACCAGAAAGGCACCCAGGCTTTGATGTCGATGCTTGAGGGAACCGGAATGGTGGATTCCCGCAATTTTCCAAGTCAACCACATCCAACCAGAGCTCTTAAATACCAAACCCACTTTGATGTATATGTATATATATATATGTATTATACACATACATATACTGTATTCATTTATTTATCTAGTCAGGGGCCTCAAACGGATTCCAGTGATATAATCAACGGCCAATCATGTGTAAAGCATCTCTAGAACCCATTAGGAAACAGGAAACCATTAAACGGGTCATTTTCACCGTGCCTTCCCGGCCTTCCGAATAGTCCACCGTCGCTTGTTTGTTCTCCGATCCTGTCTGGCCACGGGTCACTGGCTGTCCCTTCGGGATGCGCGCCAGGCATCTAGACACCGAACCGATGAATCGGTTCGGCATGTTGGCCATTGGAAGAAGGAGCACCCCTTTCCCGTTTAAGCCGGCCATGTCCAATTCAACGAAGCAAAGAGCAATGGAACAGCAAGGTTTGCATTGTAAATGAGTCGCATCCAACCCAATCTGGAAGCCATCTCCTGCTTACTGCAGTGCAGCCTTCAGTCGGGCTTGCAAGAGAGAGCGCCACTATGCAAACCAAAGCGAGCTGGAAGATGCTCCGAGCTGCGTAGCTCGCAGCATTACCTCAGATGTGTCGTCATGGCATGTCGCAGCGGAACTGGTCACTTCAGGTTGTACTCTGCCGTCCGGGCGCCAAAAGGAAGGAGGGGATTGGTTCCCTCCGAACATGGTGCGCTATTTCGCGCCGGGAACGGTTCTTCTTGGAGGAAACATAGAGAACTGGGCTTGCGAGCCAAGCACCAACCGCGCAAATCTGATGAGACACTTTGAGTCAACGGTTCAAGCTGAAATCTCCACCAGACTCCGACCAAACGCGTCCGACCCTTACAACGGGTAACAACAACCTCCCAGTGGCAACCAGCAGAGGCTTCCCTGTTGTGAGCTTTCGCCTTACTTACATGCGTGTGTCTTTTTTAAGGAGACTCGGGACCTCCCCCCCAACGCAAAGCCAATCGACATTTTCCTTTTGGCTTGCCTGTGAAACCCCAAAAAACACGGTACCTCAAAGAAAAGCACACACACACACCCAGATTGCCTGGAAGCGCCAGGCTTAACCGTGCTCGCTCGAGCGGCTTCATCCAGAAGCCGCCGTCCGGGCGACGCTTGAAGCCCCACCTCAAGCCAGGCGCAGCTTTGGATGACCACCCCACTGTGAACATCCCCGTTCTGCGGTTTATAGGGTCAACCCCACGGAATATCCCCAGTTCAGTCCCCTTCTGTGTTTGTTGGGGTCAACACCAATGGGGACTCGTTTGGGGATATCAACCACTCTTCAAGGGACACCTTGGCTTTTGCCCGCAGCACATGTCATGAACTCTGGTCCATAGTGACACGTTTCAAGGTCGGATCTGGATAACTGAGTACAGGGGTGTGATCCCCGAGGATAGACATTTGGCAACCCCGGTCAAGTGACAAGGAAAAGCATCGGAAACTCAGCAGTTTCTGTTCTACTTCCATTTGTTCAAGGCCTCTGGAGAAAATATATCCAACGGGAAAACAAAAAATGCTCTAAAGCAATTTGTAAGTCTACCTTTGTGGTTTGACAATTTGTCCGTTCGAGGCTCAACCCTCGTAGTTTTGATTGTCACCTCTCAAGGTGGGCTTTGCGCAGTCCCGTGCTTGCTGAAAAGGATTGAAAAGGGGCAGCGGGGGCAGGGCAAAGGGGGGGTGGCAGCCATGACTATGTCGATTATGTACGGATATCCACCCTTTGATTCTTACGTGACTTGGGCAGACTCCTTTACCTCTTTACTCTTGTGACTGAAGTGCCTGTCGGAACTAGCCAATGACGGATGTTCCCACATGTTCGAACCATGGTTTTTCAGCATTTTCAGCCGTATGGTGTTTGGATCAACGGACTGTCGATGAGTTGCACGTTCCTTGCATGTCTGCTGAAAGATAGAGGGATTTGGCTGATCTAAATGAATGAGACAACTGCATGATGCACAGCTTGTACAACGACAGGACATACTCGCCAGATATGTCTATAAGAGTCGTAACATCCATGAACAAACCTACAAATTGTACAAACGTGTCAAAACCTGTAAGAATTGGACAAGTAAAGGAGCTTCATCATGGGTTTTCGCTCGGAAAATCCAAACAATCTCAAACACCACGGATCCGTGGAATCGCGAAGCAGACTCTCGCCATGGCGCTGGGAATTCCACGCCATCTGCTCTGCGTGGTCCTTCTTGATGGACTTAGGGCGAAGGGTCGCAGAAATCTGCACGGCAAGTCGTTTGGTTTTGATTCTGCAAGGAGGTTATTAGTGAGCCAGCGTTCAGGGACATGTGTTGGTTCATTTGTTTGTGCTGTTGATTTCTGTTTGAGGAGGGAGAGTTTTGGAGCCACGTATTCTTTGTCGAAAGAACGGGATGAGCCACGCTTTAAAGGGCAAGGTTCCTCTTTTAAACCAAAGCGACAAGCGCACTGTGGATGGACGAAATCCGTTCGCACCACCTAAGAAACAATGGAATTATTCGATTCCCCTGCAAATATCAACAAGCAATGGCTTCCCATGGTTTCAACGTGGTGCAGGAATTCGTCCATCCACAGTAGCATTGAGTAATTCCTGATCATTCACCAAACAAAACATAAGGGGTCTGTATGAGCGAACCTCAATGATGTGGTCGCACATGAGATCCCTTTGCAAGGTTGAACTTTCATCTGCCCAGCTCGCGGTCTCATTTGGATCTGCGCTCCCAACGGGGTTGGTTGCATGTCGCCTTTTAACATCACCGCCGCAGAAGGCTTCGCGGATTAAAGCATGAGCACTCTGGTTTGGCGAGAGGTACAGTAGCCGTTGTTTGCATTCCCTTCATTATATTTTGTGATTGGACAGTTGCAAGTCTCAAGTTTTTCCCGTTGCCCGGCTTTTGTCGGACAAGTTTGCCATGGCTTCAAAAGGAATCTACACTGTTCGCGGGGGGAGGGGGGCAGATATTTTCCGATGCGGCAGTCTAGAAAGGAAAACCCGGGCTCCCAAACCTAACAAATGCAAATACACACTTCGCCCAGGAAATTCTATGAAACCAACCCACGACCCGACAAACATCAGAAGCTCATAAACGCAGTCACAACAAAGCACGCTTCACTAGTTTAGTCCCCAGCTGAAATCGCTTGGGGCACACAATACTATCTGTTTTCTTCAAGGGTGTGCGTGTGTGTGTCTCTATGAATCCCAGGCAAGCCATAGTAGCTTGTCCTTTGCCATGTGCCTCTTGATTGCTTGTTCAGGTGTGGTCCCCGCAACTACGTACTGTTCTAGAGGTACCCTCCCATTTTGTTCAGGGATCAATCTCTTTAGGAAAATGGCTCAACACTCAGCGGAAGTGGATTGACCCACAAACAGAAGGACGGGTGAAGATAATCGGGAGTCAACCCTTAGAACTATGCAGGTAACTGGAACCACTAGGCATGTCTTACAAACGGGGGAAGGAACCCTTTCGGGAAGGTAGGTGCAGGAGGCCATGTCTCTCTCAGACACGGACCTAAATGATCAGATCGAGACCCCACGAGATCATGACAAAGCTTTTCTTTATCACTTTTCCTCCAACGGCTTTGCTTCTTCCGGACGGACCCTGATTGAGGCTCACTCCTGAGTGGCTCAACAAAAAAAACACAAACTGTCTGTCCAAACCCACCAACAACAAGTGGTTGTCTTAAAATGGGCAAACATGTCAAACCCGAAAAGTATCAAGTCCAGAAAGTCAGCTGCCCAGAGGCCATGGGACAAACAGGGCACCTTTTTGTTTGGTTGGTTGAGCTTAAAAGGGAACCCTTCCCCCGAACAAAGTTGGACAAAAGGGGGCGGAATCCACTGGGCAACAGAGCAGAAACTCAGGAAGTTGAGTCGGGGCTGAGGATATGAGTCCGTTTCCTTGTGGACTTCATGTGGGGCCCCGGCGCTCTGGAGGAAGGAAATCGTTGCGGTCAGGTCATCCCGACCTGGCACAAGGCCCAGGGAAATGGACGCCCGTCTGCTTTCAGGGGACCTCAAAATGGGTGGTGTTTCCCTCAAACTAAGCCAAAGGGGGCTTTCCGAAAGAAAGACACACCCAAACAAACATGTTGAACTTGTTTGACTCCCTAACCTTCCAATAAGAACCCTCCCCTTTTTTTATGTTCAAAACCAGAACAACGCAAAAACCCAACCCTTCACAGAATTCTGAAACAATAACACAACCAAACGATGGGTCAAAACAAAATGTCCCAAAGCCTGGTTCCACAAATTGTCCGAAGATCCGATTTCGCCGGCTGAGGCCGTGGCGCGAAAGGAGCTGTTCCTCATTTCTTTGAGGGCACCTGGTGCACGAGAAAAAAAAGGGGGAAAAAGAAGAAAACACAAATACGAAAGGGCCCGTGCCGGTCTGACGAAAACAAACACAGATAAATTATATAGATACATACCGGGTATTCAACAATGACATTCCGCTTGGATATGGGGGGAATCCCATTACCTCTTGGGAGAATCCCATTCCGTTTGGTTTTGCGGTCATCCCATTGCGATTCTCTTCGGTGTTGGGGGGGAATTTCATTCCCTTGGGTTTTGAGAGAATGATCAAACCTATGCTCATCTCTATTGGGTTGAATCAGGAGACCCCAGCAGACGGGTTTTTGTCGGGGTTTCGGCTCTCAAGGAGCCCAAGGGACTGGACTCGTGGTTTGGATGGACCTCGTTTCAGGCTCCTTTTGGTTTGGGAGGGAGCAAAGGTTGTGATGTTGTGTGGTCAAGGCTGGGACGTTGAACCTTTGAGAAATTCAACTGGAGCATCTAGAAAGGAGCCTGAAGGTTGAATTGGTCCGCTGGGCCACAGCCCTTGTTCATGGATTCTAGTGGTTGAACACCCACCAATTTGGTGTTCTCCTGGGTCCAAAACCAGAGGGGCATCCTGAATCCTCATCCGTGCACGACAAAAGAAAACACTAATACAGCGGGAAAGAAAGAAGGAAGAACGAAAGAAAGAAAGATAGAAAGAAAGAAACAAATACAGGAATTCATAGTTGAATAGAAAGACAGACAGTAACAGTAAATGCATAATAAACACACACACAAACATTACTAAACCGTTCAACAGAACAACCCACCCACCCACCCGCCAGCCAACCAACCAAGCAAGCAAACAAACAAACAAGCAAACAAACAAACAAACAAGCAAACAAACAAACAAACAACAAACAAGAACAAACAAACAACCAACCAACCAACCAAACAAACAAGCAATCAACGCCAGCCAGCCAGCCAGCCAGCCAGCCAGCCAGCCAGCCAGCCAGCCAGCCAGCCAGACAGCAAGCACACAAGCAACCACTACCAGCAACGAGAATAACACAACAATAACGAAAGCGCAACAACAATCAAAGCAACCATCAACGAAACAAACAACAAATCATGAGGAACAAACACAACGAAAAGCAGAAACAACAAGAAACAATAACGACACCAACCATGGCAATGGCGGTGTCCTTCGTGTTCTCCGAGGTGCAAGGTCAGTGCAGAGCTCCCCGGCTCCCAAACGGGCTTCCAGGGGGAGATGCGCAGCGCCGTTCCAGTTCTCAGCGCCTGACGTGGAAATCAGCTGAAAGCTGTTGGGTCATTTAAAGGCCTCTGGGTGGCTCGTCGGTTTTTGGGAGTTGGCACCCTTTTTCAGAAGGCTTTCTGTGGAAAGCGTCATTCTTTGGGAGTTGGTATCCTATTTGTTAGGTTGTTTCTCGGTGGCTCGCCCCCTTTTTTAGGTTGTTTACCGGACACCCAAAGGACAACCACGCATTGTGTCGCTCCAAATCCGGGAAAAAAACATCTTTCAATGCCCGGAAAGCAATCCGGGCTGGCCAAGGGCCTTTGAACCAATTTTCAGGTGGGAGGTGTTGCCTTTTTGGTTCTCTTTAGCAGGGATTCCTTTTGAAACCCCTATGAGGGCCTGGTAGGGTTTTGGAGTCTTGGGGTGCTGTTAAACCAAAGTCGTGTCAGGACAGGAGTAAACTGCGGTGATTGTACTTGTCAACTGGGGTGTGGGGTACTTTAAACCGATAAGTCATGGACATCAGAGGAAAGCGTGCAAGTATTCGCCTGCAAGTATTTTGCCACTTACATTACCCATTTTAGGGGGGTTTCACAGCAGAACCGGAGAATCACAGCCATTTCAGCGAACCGCTTTGAGGTTGATGTCCATTCCATTTTTGAAACACAACTATGAGTGGGGCAGGCGGTTTCCTTTTGCATTCCCTTACAAATATAAAATTGTTCAAATCAACCACTTTCAAATACTTAGAGGTTTTGCCCTATGAGGGGTTCTCCAAATGGTGGAACTTAGAGGTGTTGCCCCTTTGTCACTTGATTTGAGTTTGGCTCCAAATGGTGGCACCTTAGAAAATTGTGTGGTTTCCTGTTTGCCTTCACTGCGAAGGGGTTGAGTCCCCATTCGGCCAGTGTTGTTTCAACACAACGCCGTTCCGCTAGGGCTCCCACTCACTCCTGCCTGAGTGGATGGCTCAACACATCCGAACGTGTTGCTTGCCACTCGATAAGCTCGGGAACCAACACCTTCCATGTTCAGGTAACATGTGTTCACGGTAAAGTCATCAAGAGTTTATCTGGTCCAACCCCGCATGATAGGACGATCATGAGTGCAATCAGTAATTAAGCCCCTTATAGCAGTCGGGTTACAACCCCTGTTGGCCAACCCAAAAACCCGCCCAGAATAACAAATGTTCAGATCATGCTTCAACCTTACAAATGAAACATACTATGAGTGCGTATTGTTTCAGGGTGACTTGTTCACCTTGGTTCTAAGTGGGAAACTCAGAAGACTGGGACACCTTCCATGTTGGGTCCCCCTATTTTGAGACACACTCATCTCGCAGCTGACCCGTGTAACTCTCCCCTTGAAGCTCCCCGGTGTTCGGAAGGCGAGGCGCTGTGGGCGAAGGCGAAGCCGAGAGGGAGGGCTCGGAAATGCATCCTGAGCGCTCGGGGGGGGGGGGGCTCTCCCGCTGGCATGAAAGAAAGGACACCCCTTGTTCGGCTGGCGGCTGTGGAAGGGAAATCGCCCAAGCAAACAAACGCCAGGTCATGGAAAGCCCGGGAAGTTACGTCAAATGAGCACTACATGTGTCCTCACTCCCTTCAAGGGACGAGAGATGTGGAATACCTCGCGCGAGCGCATGACATGCTGGCTGCCTGCAGACAGCAACAGGCAAGGGAATGGGGTGTCACAGGGTTTGTGGGGTCAAACTCTAATCGTCGGCCCCCTCTTTCTTAACACATGTTTCATCTTCCATTGATGTGTCGATGGGGTGCAATGCAGTTCTGTTGATTGGCCAAAACCAGATCCCAGTGTTTGCGTGCCAGTCGCGCCAGTCAAGTGCTCGACCCAAACATTGTCAAACTCAGGCAGTGCGTTTCTCAACAGGGGGAGCGACCGAATAGTCACAACACATTGGTGGGGCGAGGGAGGATGGCTGGGCCTCCAAAGAGGGAAAGGCCTAACATGGTGATGTTCCTTTCATTTTCCCTTTGAAACCACCAAAACTAGGTCCTCGAGTAGAGAGGTTAGAATAAGGGCACCAACTTTTTTCTGCGGTCTATTTTAGTAGGGGAACCCTCCCAAAAAAACGTTGGTAAAAGGGCACTATTGGGGCACCTAGAAAAAGCAGCGCTCCCTCTAAAAACACAGACCTGGGCGTCGCCGTCTTCTCGCCGGGCATCGGTGCGGCTTCAAGGGCGCAGCCGACATCTCCGTTTTCGCCCCGACCAGCTTCTGATGCCGTGGGTTCTTCCGGAAAGTGGAGGAGAGGTGCATGTCCTGGACGCTCTCCTCCTGGGCTGCCGAAAAACCGGTTCCATCGAAAGAACAAAAAAACGGTTCCATGAGAAAAAAAAAAACAACCAAAAAGAAAAACGGGTGACCGGGTGACTCATGCCCCACCCTGCAGGTCTGCGTTTAACTGACCCCATTTTGGGGTGCACCGACAATGTGTAGATGGCTTCGCCGTTTGCTTCCGTCGAAGACACAAACTCGGGCTCGCCCCGAACACCTGTGGCACCATGGGGTACACCAATGTTTAGAAAATCTGATTCGAATTCGGTCTACTCCAAAATATAACACCCGGATGGTCTGGAAACTATAGGTGATCCAGTGATCCCCTGTGGAGACCTTGACTAAAAGTCTATCAAACAGCCTCAACGGCTGGAGTCCCAGGATTTGTTTGGCGGGTTTTGTAGGGCCTGTGGAAATTATGCCGCTTGCTGGGAAGCCAGCAGGAATATCTGCAGGAACTTAGCCAAGCTCCCTTGAACACAGCAGGCTGTTTCCGTACCTGTCTGTAGTTCCTGTGCTCGCCAATTTGTTCAGAATACTTCGCGCAACGAATCCAAATAGGGCCGGGAGTCGATAAGCCTTTACAAGCCCAACAACACCCAAACAAGGCCAAATAAGGACGAAGTCTGCATAAGCCTCGTGGAAGCACCTAAAAAAAACATGACACGAGGCAAGGTTGGGGCTGAAACCCTCAACGGGACGGTAGGGTTGGCATTTCCCTTTGGTCTCCCTAAGGGGCCTAGGCCTGGAAAGCAATTAAGGCCTGTGGGGGTCTTTGGTTTGTCAGGTCCCATCCCCATACAGCCGCAAGTTTACACTGTTCGGCCAAACGGCCGATTTGTGGATTTCTGGGTTGTCTCTCTTGACGCAAAGGGTGGTACCACAACACATGTATTGTACCCTCCAAACCAAGACAATTCCTTACGTTTTCGTGTTGCCTGGGAAAACCACCGTTAGAAGAAGTCGCTTTCGTCCGGTCCCTTTGCAGTCGAAGGGCGTGGAGAGCTGTGTCCAGCATCTGCTTGGCACGGACGTCCCAGCCCAGGTGCTGACGCTTCGCGTGCCTCGGGCGATTCGATTCTGAAAACCTCGCGAGGCCACAGAAAGAGTTTAGGCAATGGCCATTGTTTCAGGGATCTGAGAGAAAAGCAAGGTCCCTCTACCGGGCGGCCACTCAAGGCCTACGGCGGGAGGGTGCGCTGCCACTGCGCCACGGGCCCTTCAATCATCCTTGTAGAGGTTAGAATGAGGATACCCCTTTTTGCTGGTTTTACAGGTAAACCAAAAGCACCATGTTGGGGGGTCCCCCCCAAAAAAACAAAGAGTCCGGAAAATGGGCTCAAGTGGTCGCTCATAGGCGCTAATCACCATTTTGGCGACCATAGCTCCCCCAACAAAAATCGATAGAGTACGACATCTATCAGGGAGTTCCTGGTAGAACAGTTCCATGTGACGCATTTTGTTCAGCTTCTCAAGGAGTTTCGAGGGTCAATCGACCCAGAAAGCTCCAAGCTTGAATCATTGAACGCTGTCCTTTTAGTTTCCCCATGAATCCAACTCAAAGGGTTGAGAAACTCCATGGTCAGGTTTTCTTTGTTTTGTTTCTGAGCTCCAAGCCCTGCGCAAAAGGTTGGTATGGCCTTTGCCATTTGTTTCCAAAGGTAGAAGCGCAAGGACCAGCCATTGTGAGAGTTTCATGGTTCCAGAACGGTTGTCTAAGCTGGATGCCTGCAAAGCGCCCGTCGTGTACTGATGTTGGCTTGTAGCCTCAAGTTGCCGGAAAGCCATAAGCTCTGTTTTTGGCAGTGTAGTGGGTGCGAATGTTGATTACACTTTGGCAGACATGGGGGCGAATGTCCACCAGCGTGAGCCATAATCAAAACCGATCGGGATTAAAATGGTCTACCCAAATCCAAGGAATTGAAAAGGCGGATATCCGCAGCGAGATCTGGCTGGCCCCTAACCTTCGTCTGTGGCTCATGTGAGGCGTTATAAATTCAATGCTAGTCCTAAACCCTCAGGGTTAGGTGGTGGTGCTGACCCAAGGGATATGCTGACTATGTCAACGAAACCGGGTTACGGGGTATATACCATGTGTTCTTGAGAATTTACCACACGGATCAGGGGCCCTGCCCACTTGATTTCCAATGAAAAATCCGAAGAGACCTAACACAAAAACTCGGAAGAACCCGGTGGATCTCACTCTAGGTTAGAGGAACCGGGCCCCGTGGGTTTTCAATCTGGGGGAACCGGGACCAAAGAATCCGACTCAAAACGACACACCCACACCAAACCTTACGTCCAACAGCACCTTTGTTGCCTACTTGCATCCAAAGGACCTGTACGGCGAGCACCCTCTAGGATCTTGACGAAGAGCCCACATGGGAAAGCCCAATAGCCAAAGGACAATTCAGCTCCAGGCTGCACTGATGGCTCCACCCGTCTATGGTTAAACAAAATCACATGGCGCCAAATGACGCAGGACAAGGGGAATGGCTGCTGTAATGAAACAACACCCAACGTGGTGTGAGTTTCCCAGAAACAAGGAAAAACTGTGTCTTCCACTCTTCAATTTTGAGGTCCTCGGATTGAGAAAAACACGTGTTGCTAGTGAAGAAAGGGAAAAATTATTGAACAACCCTTCAAGGTGGGGTGCATTTGGCTTCGGCGTGAACCAGCCTAAAGACTGTCCCCCATATGCAGCGCAGCAGTGCTATCCTAGCTGACGTGAAAAAGCTGTGGGTTCTACACCATGTGGACCCCACATGAATCAACCCTAGTTATTGGGGGAGTGTTCCCCTTCAATTAAATGATCCCCCACTGAACCCAGGGACACCCTATCAATACTAGACCACGGTTGGCCCGAAAGCAGAACATCGCAAGCGAGGTCGGCCCAACGCTGCAGGATGCGTTCTTTTTCCCTACACGAAGCATTCGTGAAGCAAGCGCGAGACAGCACCAGGCAAGGTGCTCTGTGCAAGTTGCTCTGTGCAAGTTGCTCTGCGTAAGTTGCTCTGCGCAAGTTGCTCTGCGCAAGTTGCTCTAGGCAAGGAGCTCTGCGCAAACTGGTCGGTGCAAGTTGGTCTGCGCAAGTTGCTCTGTGCAACTTGCTCTGCGCAAGCTCTGCGCAAGTTGCTTTAAAATGCAAGTTGCATCTTGCGACGCCCGCCCGCGGACCAGGGAGGAATCGAACCCGCGACCCGCCGGTTCCGGGAGCAGGCGCGCGAACCACGAGACAACTCCCGAGGACCAGTTCGAACAACAAAAGTCGCAAAAAACCTCGAGTTTTTGCACCTCGACCACGCCGATTCCCGCAGAGGGTTGCGCGAGCACCGCAGAAATCGCAAAAAACCTCGAGTTTTTGCACCTCGACCACACCGATCCCCGCAGAGGGCCGCGCGGGCTCGAGTCTTTGCACCTCGACCACGCCGATTCCCGCAGAGGGTTGCGCGAGCACCGCAGAAATCGCAAAAAACCTCGAGTTTTTGCACCTCGACCACCCCGATCCCCGCGGAGGGTTGCGCGGGCACCGCAGAAATCGCAAAACAAAAACCATGAGTTTGTGCACCTCGACCACGCCGATCCCCGCAGAGGGTTGCGCGAGCACCGCACAAATCGCAAAAAACCTCGAGTTTTTGCACCTTGACCACGCCGATCCCCGCAGAGGGTCGCGCGAGCACCGCAGAAATGCCAAAAAACCATGGGTTTTTGCACCTCGACCACGCCGATCCCCGCAGAGGGTTGCGCGAGCACCGCAGAAATCGCACAAAACCTCGAGTTTTTGCACCTCGAACATGCCGATCCGCGCGGGCATGTTGGAAATCGCAAAAAACCTCGAGTTTTTGCACCTCGAACACGCCGATCCCCGCAGAGGGTCGCGCGGGCATGTTGGAAATCGCAAAAAACCATGGGTTTTTGCACCTCGACCACGCCGATCCCCGCAGAGGGTCGATTTTCGTGTAGTGTCGTCGGCGCTACCCCGCCGCCCTAAGAAGAGATTTTAACTCCTCGCAAGTCAATTGCACTTGACTCCTTGCACTTGCAACTTGCACTTGACTTCTTGCTTGTTTCAAGGAGTCATTGCAAGGAGTCATTGCAAGGAGTCATTGCAAGGAGTCATGCAAGGAGTCATTGCAAGGAGTCATTGCAAGGAGTCATTGCAAGGAGTCATTGCAAGGAGTCATTGCAAGGAGTCATTGCAAGGAGTCCATTGCAAGTTGCAAGGAGCCAAGTGCATGGAGTCAAGCGCAAGTCGCAAGTGCACGGAGTTAAGTGCAAGTTGCAAGTGCAAGGGCGTCAAGTGCAAGGAGCCAAGTGCATGGAGTCAAGTGCAAGTTGCAAGTGCAAGGAGCCAAGTGCAAGTTGCAAGTGCATGGGGTCAAGTGCAAATTGCAATTGCAAGGAGTCAAGTGCAAGTTGCAATCCTTGCCATGACACCTTGCAATGACTCCTTGCAATGACTCCTTGCAATGACTCCTTGCAATGACTCCTTGCAATGACTCCTTGCATGACTCCTTGCACTTGACTCCTTGCAATGACTCCTTGCAATGACTCCTTGCAATGACTCCTTGCATGACTCCTTGCAATGACTCCTTGCAATGACTCCTTGCAATGACTCCTTGCAATGACTCCTTGCAATGACTCCTTGCAATGACTCCTTGCAATGACTCCTTGCAATGACTCCTTGCAATGACTCCTTGCAATGACTCCTTGCAATGACTCCTTGCAATGACTCCTTGCAATGACTTTCATGATGATGATTCCTTGCAATGACACCTTGTCATGACTCTCATGAGAACAACTCAAGTGAACCCAGCGGAAGAACCCTTCGCCATGCTTTCGGGAAAACTGGAACTAATGAATATGGGATCGACGTTGCCCGGCACGGGGTACAAGCCTACCTCACCTCCAAGATCCACATGGGCGTGGCTCAAAATTAAAAAGGAGGGGTTACGCGGGTTTTCGTCCAGGTTTCCTACCGGCTTTTTGAGCCACAGCCACATCTCTTCCAGCGTTTCTCGTCGAGCCGCGATCCACATGGCACGGCATTCGCAGTCAGCAGAAGCCCCACGGACATGGCGCCGAAACAAGGGTGCCAGGGGGCCAACTGGACAGCAGCGGCCACAAGTCTATCTGGTCCAACCTACTCGCAAGGCTCGCTTGAAATTACCTGCCCAGATGTTTCGAAGACAAGCCCAAGGGCTTGTGATGGATCAGCAAAGACTAATGATTGAAAACCACCATAAGACAGACAACAAGTCTTTGTGACTCCATTTCCCTGTTGAGAACTACGCTTAAACGACAGAAAGGAAAACGGCTGGCTGCCTACTACAGTAATAACTGTGATCCACCGAGAAAGCTGGAGCCCTGAAGGACAAACATCCACTCTGGATGTACCTCCCGCAGACGTATGGCATACAAGAAAGTCATGGTATGATGCACCCTTGCTCAGGGACTGCACCGAAAACAGAGTCCAGGGCCCACAAAGAAGAGACACTCAAGCAGATCCTCCGATTGGGTCCATTAAAGTGACATCCTCAAAATCACTCTGTATGGTGGGTGGTTTAAAGGACCCCCGACCCAAAAAAAACTATATTGAAAAAAACCTCAAAGTGCTGACTTTAGGGCAACCAGCGGTATATGTTCGGTGGGGGGATAAAAGGTACCCTCCCACCAAGAAACACGGAGGTGCACCGGCGCATCACTGTGGAAGACTGCATCTGTTTGGAAAGGGTTCTGTACACTTTTACACTTTCATGTTAAGGAGCCCCTCCAAAATGCAACTGCAAGAGCATCAATTATCAAGTATGTTTCTCAAAGTGGGGGAACAAAACAACTGTTTGTTTCCTTTGTGTCCTTCAACACTCCCCTTCACATATGTGACTATTTCCCCCCTGCACGAAGAGTTTAACACTTTTGCTTATTTGTGAGGAAAACACGCAGTTTCCCCAAAACATGCGGAGAAGAACAACAACAAACAACAAAAACAAAAAACGGTAAAAGATGCAACCCAATCGCGGCTGGGCGGCCCCTTCTTTGGAGAAAGCCTCAAATCACACGGAGGCTAGGTCCTCCAGTAGAGAGGTTGGAATAAGGGTACCTTTTTTTCTGTAGTTTATTTAAGTAGGAGAACCCTCCCCCAAAAAAGGAGGGGGGACCTAGGAGGGACCTAGGAGGGACCTAGGAGCTAGGCCGTCGGTGCCGTACTGAATTGCAGCTGAGCCCAGGGCATTCGTCGCATCCTCGAGAGCAGGTTGCACACCGAAAATGGGTCCCAATGTCCCGCAAGGAGTTTTTACTCTGTGAGGTTTCTCGTGGATTCCAGGTTGATCTGCAAAAATGTCAGAACTGATTTCATTGATTCATCAACCAAAACGCTGCGTGTGTCTGTGTCTGTGTCTGTGTCTGTGTCTGTGTGTCTGTGTGTCTGTGTGTGTGCCTGTGTATCTGTGTATCTGTGTGTCTGTGTGTCTGAGTGTCTGTATAATGTCTGTGTGTATGCCTGTGTATCTGTGTCTCTGTATGTGTCTGTGTACGTGTCTGTGTCTCTGTCTGTCGGTTGTGCTTCTGTATCCTGACCTCCCTATGGGCGCGGCGGAATGAGGCCGGAGGCCATGAAATATTTAGGCTACCAGGAACTGCAGCAATTTGCCACCAACCCGAGTCCTCGCTGGAATTTGCCACCTGCCACCTGGCAGTCGTTGATTCACCGACCCCTTCAGGTGCTTAGTTTCCGCTTCAAAAGATCGGACAAATACTGTGGATGGACGAAATCCTGCACCACCCCTGGAAGGATGATTCCCCAGTAAATACCAACAATGAATGGTTTCCCATGGTTTCCAAGTGGTGCAGGATTTTGTCCATCCGCAGTATCAAAGGACCCCCAATTTGAGAAGCATCCATTGTTGCGACCAAACTGATCCCAACTGGCTACAGCTCACGTGGGGGCTTAAAACAGAAACTAACTGACCTGAGCTAGCTTGCTAAGGTGACTCCATGCTTTGAAGCGTAGACTACCAACTGTTGAAACTTGGCAAAGTGGAGTTCCTAGATTAAAATGATGAAACCTGGCAACGCAAAGTTTAAAGTCTGGGAACAGGTAAGCAACTGATTTGGACATAGAGGCTGAGCAAATTGTAGTTCGAATCCTTCTCCTGGGTATTCCAGGTCAACACACTGGCAAAGATGCGGGAGGAAGCAGGCATTCGGGTGGGCCCGGTGGGCCCTAATAAAGCAGGACAATGGCAAGGTTTCTGTGGAAAAACACATGCACAACACGCTCCCGCCACATTCAACGCTAGTGGATTCTTGTGACTATGGCTGTCTAAGAGAAAGGGTTGATGACCATTCCTACTCAGCAGGGTTCCCCAATAGCTACATCCAAACATTTGCAATGTTCACGCGAGGATCCTCCAAATCAGCTGGTGCACGTGCTTCTCATTGTGGCCAATGCGCATCCTTTAAGCAACCCTTGCGGTCAACATCGCCTGATCCAATCTCCAACAACCGATTTCGCTCCTCCCCGCCTTCGCGCGTGGCGCAAACATGCAGGTTTCCCTTTGCAGGGGCCCATCTCTTGGTTTCATGGACCTCGGGGCAGGTATACCTGCAGCATGAAACAAGCCAAAGCCCAGCCCGTATTGAGTTTCTAAAGGGGGATAGACTCGGATAGACTCCCCTCCCTTGCCCCCCCCCCCCCCTGCAGGTGCATCATGCTTACTTTCCTTCCCAATGGTTTGTTGGGCTTCTGTAGAGTTGGGCACAGCAAGTCAGGAGGGATGATGGACCCTCCAAAATCCAGTTTTGTGGATGGTATCTTGAAGCTGGCAACCATCAAATCCTGCTTCTGCCAAATCTCCGATCAGGAATTCTGAGTAAACTCATCCCGTCCAACCTCCTTTTCGACCCCAAGGGCAGCGATTCGCACCCCCAAAGACCTCACAAGGGGAGCTTCGGGTTCCCTCTGATTTTGGGGCGGTTCCATGCTGCAGAGGCACCTATATAAATATATATATATATATATATATGAGGGTTGTCCAATATTCCTTGCTCCAAAAATCGCCTTCCGCCTCGCCCTTCCGCGAACTTCCGCGATGCAGGTAAAACCACACGTTCTGATACGTGTCTGAACATAAGTAAGTTTCCTACAAGTAAAAGCAAAGCAAACCAAGAGGAAGCGCTAGTGAAATTGGAGCGAGGATGGGGCGAAGAGCAGAACGAGCAAAAGGACGGAGGAGGACAAGCAAACGTAGGAAACGAACACCGGAGAAAGAAGAGGAAGGAGGAACGCGGCAACAAGCGACAAGCTACGCTACGTAAAGAACCTGGCCAGCCACCCCCCGCGCGCGGCGACAGCCACAGTTCCGGGGGTTTCGTTTTGGAATATTATATATATTCATGTTGCCCGCGCTCTCGGTGGCCTTGACCCTCAAAGAGTTCCACCTTCTTGCTGGACAATAGCGAAACGTAAACGTTTTCCCCTTGAACCAGCGCTTCCAGTTGCCTCCAGACTGTGTACCTAGGCATCACATTCCCTCTAGCGATCTTTTTTTACCAGACCTCGCTTCCCACTACCTCGCTACCCATGGGCGCCCGGACGGTCCAACCCAACAGCCACCGATGCCCTGACGCTCCCGACTCCCGACTCCCCCGCGCGCCTCAGCGCGCCCTTGGGCTTCTCCAGGGTGATCTGCCGGCACTCGGCGCCGGCGCCGGCCAGCAGCACGGAGACCCGGGCCACGGACTCCGAGATCTCGTCCGCCCAGAGGTCCTGGCGGGGATGGTCCTTTGACAAAGGAGGCATCAGTTGAAAAAAAAGAGACAAAATGCCCCTCACATCCACATCCAAGACCAGGAAAATGTTCCTCACATCCAAGAGCCAACCAAAATACCAGGTGGCTCTCCGAAGTTTCAGCTCTAGGTGACTTGGGCTTTCGAAACACCGAACACCAACTCTCCTAAAAGTCAGCTCTAGATGACCTGTTGTTCGTCCGAACTGCCAACAGGCTCCTAAGTTTTGGCAGTAGGTGACTTTGTTCCCTCAGCACCCTTCACACTGGTAACTTCTCAAGGGTCCACAGCCATCCCTACCAGCCAAGTAAGGGGTCCTTTCACCGTGGTACGTGTATAGCCATGCGCTGAGCCAGGGTCCCGACATTTCCCCATGTCCGGACACAACACGTCTACGGCTTGCCCTGTGGCCCCTGTGGGACGTACCTGAGCTCCCAAATGGTTTTACATGGGCTTCTGACCAGTTCTGACCAAACCGCATATCCTGGCTTCATGGAAGTCAGCCTACAGGATTGGTGAACCAGAAGCGGGGGAACGGGGCTCCCTATACTCACAAGCCCCGCTCCTTGCAGCGTTGTAAAATAAAAAGACATGGTTGTCCAGGGCTAATACCTCGATGTTTTGGTCAGGTTCCGGGTTCACACCTCCACTTTGCGTGGCATGTATTGAAACAGGCTGCTTTCCAGGGAAGCTCCTTCTTGCACGGCCCAAGTTGACATACCAACCAAAACCAGGGGGGAATAATTAGGGGAACATATTTTCCCAAAACCAACTTACTGGCAACATTGCGACTGGCCAAAGAACTGTGGCTGTGTCTCAAATGGGCCGTTTTCCGTTGGTTTCCCTTACCAACCCCAAAAAGTGGCTCCCTCAAAAACACGACACTCAAGTATAATAATATGTATATATATATATATATATTAGGAATGTGGATTCCTGGCCAGACCAGTACAACTACTATGATTAGAACCTGTTCTACAATAGTTGCATATTTCTGGCCAAATATGTCCGGCCCCGAAACTGAAAGGGAACCCCAGAGGATCTGAACTTGTTTGATGTTCTTCGTTTCTTTTAACCTCCTAAAGGGTCCACCTCCCCACGCTCCAGCACTTTAAGAGAAGGAGCCTCAAAAATCAGTGTTTTCTGTTGGGCGGTCCATGTCAATCTGCAGAAGTGTACTATTCTTAACATACCCCCGCCGGGGGGAACACCATTAGTTATAAAGTTGTACCCGCCCACTCAGATCACTACATGTCTCCTGACTGGGGTGTTTGGAAGATCATGTTCCTCTAGTCAGTTTTCCCTGATTCGTGGTTTGGAGTGAGGTGTTGAAGGGGTTTCTCATAAATCCTCTACAAGAACCAACAATCCAAACCACCAATTAAGGGCTGCCTGATCTACCATGGACCCTCAAATAGGCAAGCCTGTTTGCAGGCTTGTTTTGATTCGAATCCATGATTTTTGGTTGGTGTGGTTGGGGAAAGGGACACAAAAAGAGCAAAGGGGTGGTTTTCAACATTGGGGTCCCTTAAAAAAGTGGTCTCTCTGTGGTTGCCTTTCAGAGCAACCCCAAAAGGGGATTCCCTCGCAAGACCAGACCCAGATCTTCTTCGACCCATTAGCGAAGCCAAGGCGTTATGTTCTGTACCGTCGTTTTGCAAGGTAATACAACCCACTCGCGAAATGGAGGTGAATCTGGAATCCAGCACAAACTTATATGAAGCGCGAATATGGCGGAACATATGGTATCCACCCCATATGCTCATGGGGAAAAGGAGTGACATCTTTTGTGGTTGAGTTTAAAGGGAACCCTTCCCCAACAAGAGCTGAAAGAAGCTGGCGGAATCCACTGGGCAACTGTGAGAGACCAAAACGAGAGCTGTCAGGCAAAGTATCTCTTCGCTCGGCCGGTCCTGGATACTGTTTTTGCTCCCCACCTGGCAACGTGCTCAGGGGCTCCAAAGACCGGGCCGCAAGAGAAGACAAGTTGGCCTCACTTCCGACATCCAGTGGACTGGCCGCAAAAAGTCCAAACTTTTAATGTTCCACGAAGATGGTCTTCAAAGCAGGTCTAAAGTCCAGAAACTCAGGGAGTGAGTAACCAATTCCTTGGGGTAGTTGGATGGGCTCTGGACTTTCAGCATCCCTGGTTCCTCGGCTCCCCCAATGTCCATGGCTGGCAAGGGTCCTCGGAGTTGCAAGGGTTGACACACGCAGCGGACACGCCGCGGCACTTGTCTCAGGCCATCTGGGGGACACCCCCAGCCTCCAGGGTACCGTTTGGATGTGATTGCTTTCGATCAAGTGGGAAAGTATGAATAAACACGAGTGATAAACAGCATGCCGCCGCATGTCTAGGGTTCCTCCTAGATCAGGGGTCCCTTATTTTGTGAAACATCCACACACAAGTTCGCAATTTCGGATGGTCGCTTCTGAAATATGTACCAAAGAAAACCCCAAATGTGGTTAAAGTCAAAGTCAAATGGACGCCTCCAGTTTTCTGCGGTCCAACTGTGTAATAAACAAAAGGACCTTGGTGCAGACCGTCGAAACCAAAGGGCGTCATAATCCAACGGGCACCAACCAACATGAGACGCTGATTGGTTCAAGGTCACCAAACTGAGTGACAACACAGATCAAAAAAATACAATGCAATCATGAAGGTTTCAAGGTATTGACATACGTACAAACACATTAACAGTGTAAGGTATCAGCAGTTAGCCATTTGATAACTTCAAAATATGTGTTCCAACAAAGGGCATAAAGAATAAGAAAGGGGATGTGCGGGAACTTTAGAGCCACTTTTCGTCACGATTATAGGAGCAAATTGTTTGCATGTATTCAACCACCCATACCCAGCTTCCTAAAGGGCCGTTGATTAATATTTTGGGCAATGACTAAAAATTATTTAAACTTTGGAAACCAGAAGGTCAAAAGGTTTATTCGCTTTGGGCTGGGGTACATATTTTAATGAGGGAGGCTTTAAAGGACATTATTGAGGTACGGATTTATGTTCTCCAACCATTGAGGGGTCCTCACTAAAATGAATGGCCATATGATTTATGATATGGGCCAAATATGTGTCTTTTTTGCGGGTTCCCTTTTGGAGTGGTTTGAAAGGAAAATCACGTGGAAATCACATGTGTGGGGCTCCCATTTACGAGAAACCCCCATATTGTGGATGGACGAACTCCTGCACCGCCTAAGACACCCACCCTGGTTTCTGATGATTTTTGTGGAAATACCAACAACCACGGTTTCTCAGCTGGTGCGAAAGGGATTTTGCAACCATCCACAGTTGGCTTTCCTTCAAGCTTCCCTATTAAAAAACAACCAAAGAAAGAGTCCCTCCCCCCAACAAAGACGAATATTACCAAATTGGTTGGGTGATTTAAAGGACAACCAAATGGAAACCACACATCTTTGGGGCTCCCCTATTGTAAGAGAAACCCATATTGTGGATGGACGAACTCCTGCACCGCCTAAGACACCCACCCTGGTTTCTGATGATTTCCCTGTAAATACCGACAAATACCTGGTTTCCCATTTGGTCAAGGTGGTGCGCACAGATTTCGTCCATCCAATCCCGTTTTTCGGGAGAATCTGCGCTGCTTCGCCTCCAGTTTCAGATGCTCCGCGGCCATGCGCCGCACCGCCTGGTCGCCGCCCAGGGGCTGCAGGCTCAGCGCGTGCGCCTGGGCCCTCGCGCCCTGGCGGAGTTGGGAAAATCGCGAGGTTGGCGTCAAGGCGGAAAAGACGGGGCTGAAAAAGGCGGAGTGAAAAGGGTCGAACCCATGAGTTTCCATGTTCTTGTTGTTGTTTTGGTTTTGTTTTTGTTTTTTTTGGGGGAGGGGGGTGCTGGTCTAAAATATTTGGGCATAGGGCCATGCATGAACCCATGCGTGTCCATGTTGGACTCTTTGGGGGCTGGTTTTCCATAATTGAGTCATAGGTCCATTCGGTCCATATGGACATTTCTCAAAATAAAGTAGGTGATTTCCTTTTCCTGAAAACTATCTAAAAAGGGATCCCTATTTTGAGAGCCCCCCATGTATGATTCCATGAGATTCACTTTGGGGGCTGCTTTCCCCTAATTAAGCCATAACTAACGGATAAGCAACCCATAAGCTAGGGGTTCATACCGGGGGTTCATATGTAAACGTTCACATTCAGCCTTCGAATGTGAGTGTTTCTGAAAATTGAGGGAATTATGTCCACAAACCACCTTGGACGCCGCCCAATCCAAAATCAAGATCATGTGAGTGTGTCTCAGATCAGGAATCGGGCCCTCAGATGGTCGCCATTTTGAGAAACTCCCACATAGGGGTGAACTCATTACACAGAGGGGGTACTTTAAAACCGCATCTAGTCATGAGAATAGGGACGAAATATGCAATTCGCATGGGGGGGAGGTTGTGCTGCACCTTGAAACCAAACTCAGTCCTGATACTGCAATAGGGGAATAAGGTATGTAACTATTTAACCCTTTAGACTTACTATGTGTTTGTCCTAAAATACGGAACCCAAAAATGGTGTTCCTCTTGGTTTCCCTTTAAAACAACCGCAACACAGGTACCCTCCAAAATACACCCCCACAATGAAGCAGTTTCTGAGTTTGTGTCATCTACTGTACCGAGTTGGGCCAAAGAGTCCTTCCGGCAGGCCATAGCGAACATCCTCAAAGTGGCTAAGCGCTACCTAATTCACTTGCCCAAAGGACCTGCAAACGAATGGTTGACCTTTTGAGATCTCTGGTTGGAATTAAGACTCATGACGCATGCCCCAAAGGCTCTCGATTAGTTTCGGGTATTTCAAATTTGATGGGTCGTGTTCTCCATTGGATCCGGATTCGGGACTGCGAGAAGCGAGCCTCAGGGATGGACGGATGGACGAAGCATACTTTGCAGCTCCTTTAGAACCCACAAAGGGGTCCCATATGTTTGTTAGAGACGCATAGGGGGCAATTGAGAAAAAGTGCATACCGTGCCCTCCATGTGAGCAAACCATCCTGGGGAACAAAGGGATAAACCGAGAAGCCATCCATTTTAGCTGCATTTAACTTGATGCTTGTTACCCTTTGAGGCCAGGGCTGGGGGTCATAAGCCAATCAACATGTTGGGGGTGATTTGCGGCAAACCAAGCTCAACCAAGGCAAAATAAGGCAAAACAAGGCATATAAATCATGGGGAATGAACTCCTAGAAACATTCCCCGACATTGACATGGTGCTTTTGCTGGGTGATTTTGTGTAAACATGGTCCCTTCAACATGGGTGGGTACCTTGTGACCCCCCACCGAAAAATATGCCGCTTCCTTGAAGGTCAGCACTTTGAGGCTTTCTCAAAATAGTTGTTTTTGGGTGGCTCCTTTAAACCACCCACCACTTACAGAATGATTTTGAGGATGTCACTTTCATCGACCCAATCCCCGAGTGTTGTCTCCGAACTGGGTCTCCGTGCCTTGGAGTTCGGGGAGGTCTCGTTTCGCCCGACGCCTGCGATGCCCACCTGGACTTGCAGTGATCACGTCTGGGTGGCTCGTCTTTTTTGGGAGGTGGGACCCCCTTGCTTGTGGTGAAAGGAAAACCAAAAGGAAAACCCGCCCATTTTGAGGTGTCCCAAAAAAAGACACACACGTCTGAGCTCAGGGGAGGAGACGGAGGGTTGTGAACGGACATTGGTTTTTACTAGAAAACGGAAAAATGTATCTCTCCAAATCGGGGAATTGATGTCCACCAACCACTTTGGACTGCATTGAAGAATCAGAATCATGTGGGTGTTTCTCACAAAAGGCATCGCGCCCTAAAATGGTACACCTCCATCTCCTTCCTCTCATTGTATCCCTTTGTCCATCTATGTTCTATATGAATAAAAGCAGAGAAAGAGGATGAGGAATGAGATTGTGACTTAAATAGCTGGTGATGGGAAAAGAAGGGACCCATTCAACACGTTCATCATTGCTTTCCTTGCATTATCTCGCCCTTGCCATGGCTCAAATATCACCAGCTGATTTACCGGATCCTGAGAGAGCAGCTAGTGTTCGGGTGGAGTTGTGGGGAACGCGACCGAAGGCGCAATGGCTAGCACACCTTGCTTCGGGTTTGAGGGAAAGGGCCAAGGAAGGGAGCGCCCACATTGCCTTTCAACAATAGATCTTGGCCATACCAATATGGCGCTGAATTCAAAATGGGAACCACATCCAACTGCGCGTAGTCTCAGCGGATGCCTGCAAGAATGCATGCGGTGAAGACTAAGCTTTGTTTGTGTTGCCTGCAAGCTTCTCAGTCCAAGTGCACCAAAAAACAAGTACTCTCCCTCCAACAGTCATAGAAACTGACAGGAGGGTGTGGAAAACCTACTCTCTCTGTCCACTTCCGGTCGAAAGTAATTACTGGAAGCACTTGGATAGACTTTCACCTGTTGTTGAAAGAGCAATCTTTTAGTTGTGGGGAAAAAAAAAACCTTCAAACAATCAATTCAATTGCTTTTCTCTATGGGAACTCTAGGGGCTCCCTGGCTATAGACAACGAGTCATGATCAAAACCCGGTACAAACATGTTGACCCAGAACCAGACAGTAAATAATTAAGAAGGCGGCCGCACCTATTTTTGGTTGGGATCGTCCCTTACTAGCCTTCATCTACCCGGGTTTTGATTGTCACTCATATGTGTGTGGCTCAAACATACGGGCCCAAAATGGAACTTTGTGTTTTTTGTTGTTGGAAAGGTAGACCAACAACTGCGGTCCGCTGGCTCTCAAACTTTGAGCCACACTCACATAGGTTCCAGGACTACTCTCGCTTGCAGGAGTATCCACAGCCAGAATCGATCCGGCCTTCTCCTTCTCCGGAGCAGAAGCTTCTTCCCGTCCGGTGCCGGACTTGCCGCACAAGAGGCGCACGTAGAGATCCTGCGTCCCGATGTCCCAGTCCCAGGACCGAGCAAACATGTTTTTGTTGACTGTGGTCCTTATCTCACTTCCTGAGGGGACTGGCTAAGAAAAATCCAAACTTTCCGTTTGCCAATAAAATGGTCTTCCCAAAAAAGTTTAAAGTCCATGCACTCAGGGAGTGAATGAATTGAACCTTAAAACTGTGTATATTCAAAGGACATCCTCACATTGCCACGTACAAGCTGGGGTGTTCAAAAGGAACACCAGCAAGGGCCCCTATGAACTGGGCTCGGCTCTCTACAAGGCAGGGGTGCAACCCAACTATTCCAAGGGAAACCAACCCCTGTTCAAGTGCTCCAAGTGTTTCTCGAAGCGGGCAGAATCAACAAGTCCCAGCTTGTGAAGAGCCTTGCTTTCAGCTTGTGAAGCCAAAGGGATTTTGCAACCCAAGGTATGGTAAGCTCAGTATGGGGGCTTACTGCACCGTAAGGGCTGGTAAGTCTTCCCCATCCTGTCCCATAATTTGTGCCCACGTCCCTACCTTCCACAGGCCCCCCCTTCTTTGCTTCACTGACATGTTGAAAAGGGTAGGCTTACTTGCGATCTCTTAGCGGAGACTCACTTCCGAGAATAGCGCGCTTGAATATTAGCCGCTCGCATTCATAGAGCCTTTGCTGTGATACGAAACCAGGACAGCATCAAAGAAATGGCCCTAAAACAAATTCCCACCAACTAAAGAATGGCGAGTTGGTCAAAGGTCAGACCAAAGTCTTCCATCACTTCCTCGCCCACTTCTTAACACCCTGACTTTTGTTTGCCAACCGCGGAAAGCTTCAGATAGGTTCCTGAGTGATGGAGCGCCCGGCAGTTCCGGGTGCCCAGGGGGTTGCAAAATTGGTATTTAAAGTGGTGCCTTGGTAAATGGAAACAAAAACGAACCCGCCTAATCCCAGCTCTTTCATTTTGAGCCATACCCACTTGTTCAAACCAACTTGGCTGGACAAAATCGTCATTTTCCCTCGTCAACAGGTCTGTTCGGTCAGCAGCGGGGTGCATTGGAAACCTTCCCCGCTTGACCCGAACGCAGCCCAGTGCTTCAAGCAACCGCTATATGCACGCAAGGGAGACCGCAATTTACAAAGGGGCATATTCCTGGTATCCTGCTACACTCGATTCAATTCAGGGCACACCAAACTTGCTAGGTCCTATCTTCGGCTTCTGTTTCATATTTAGTGAATGGTAGAATGTACACAGTAACATCCTGGAGGAGGCCCCAGTACAATTCTCGGGGTTGATTCCGCCTTCTTTTCCATCATCCTTCTCTTCAACAACCGAGCGCTGCTTGATGGCTTCCTGAAAGAAGGGATTCCTGGAATGGGGAAGCTTCCCCCTGAACAACGTAAGCTCAGCCCCGAAAACGGGTCCCGGTCGCCAGGACGTAACGACCGCGCGGAAAAAAAAAAAGAAAAGAAAAAAAAAACGCGTCCTTGAGCTGCTGGCGGGTGGCGTCGTGCCGCTTCTGCGCGGCGAAAAGCTGCTGCAGCTCCTCGGGTGGGTCGATTTGCCTGCTGCGATAGCTAAGGTTGACGCTGGAAGGGGGGCAAACAATTAAATCTGAGCAGTTAAGTGGTTGGATTTCAACCACTAAACCACAATAAGCAAAAATGTAAAATGCTTCCCAACAACAACTATGGCTAGGGAATGAGAGATGGGATGAACCTGAGGATTCCCACTGAAAGGACACCAGGGATGGTTTGTAGGGGTCATTTTTGTAGTCCTTCCATTTCTTGTTCCCTGCCTATCGCACATTTCAAGAAGGGCGCACGTTCCAAGGAGGCTGGCGTTTCAAAACCGAGGGTTGGCAATTTTGATCCGTGGCCTTTTGAGAGGTTCCAGCACTTCGCAATTCAAGCGTAGGAATTCGGGATTGCCCCCAAACGCGTCTGGGTAACTCCAGAGAAGGGAGGGGTTTATAGGGGCAACATTTCCCTTTCTGAGGGTCTTCGTTGTCAGCCAAGTGGATCCTGGCAAACAACAGAAGGGAACCAGGATTTCCGCCTCTAGGTCCAACATCATGCCCAGATTTCAGGCAAGCCACCACGGTAACAACCCCTCGCCATTTATGAAAGGTTGGTTATCGTGGTGACCTATTTTACGGGTAAATAGAATCACTGGGATGGTTCTTTTGGTTACCTACACATTGCTCAGAGTGGATGTTTTGGGAATGACACCCTTCGCTGGTTGGTTAAAAGGTTGGCCACTGGGCAGGAATTCTTTATTAGAACATACACACGTAGTTGTACAGTGAAGCGATTCTTCATTTCCGCCAAAGATCGGAAAACGGGCCACATGTTGATTCCAAAGAGCCCTTTGTGAGGTAAACAAGAAGCCAACAGAAGGGTTCCAACCCTGGCCATTTGCCCCATAATCATCAACCAGGAGATGATTTGATCCTAACTTCTAACAAACAAAACCTCTACCAGCAAACACGGGTAGTATCTCGAACGGCAGCAATTGAATTGAACGGATTCAGTGGATTGGTGTTAGAATCCTGGGTTCCAATTCGTTGGGTTCCAACCCCCATTTCTTGGGTTAGACAAACCCAGCCCGCTCCTGTCGGAAGCCTACCAAGGATTGCTGCAGTGCTGGGTCCATCGCGCAGGGATTGATCCGCGAATCCGCCGCGCGGATGAAGTTGTGGCCGGGACCCGTGGGAACGGGGAATCCAAGTGGAAGTGGACCCTTTACTCGCAGTGCTAAAAGTTGAACTCGTGAGTGGGATATGTCATGAACCCCTAAAAATATGGCTAGGAACCTCTGAGGGTCCCTTCAAGATTCTTAAAGTGAAATCTCGAGTGCCCAGTACTTGAGGGTTCGGGAAACTCCTTGAACCCAAGCATTTGCAGGGAACACAAATCACTTTGGATCCAGACTGGGGACATTTCCCTGAGCCGCGGAGGCTTGAATGCGGGTTCTGCTGCTTCATGTTGATCGGCAACTGGAGCTCTGGACTGTGTGGGAATCGAAATGGTTGGCTTCGACTGAGTGCCATCAAACCCAACTGCTTCGTTTTTCGCCTAGTTCTAAGTGAATTGGTCAGAAGAGTCCAAGCTGTTCATGAATGATGATCATGAAGCACCCCTGCAACTTGAAGTGGAAGCTTAGAAAGGAACCCTTTCCCTAAAAGGAGAGTGCTTCCGGGTTCTGATCCTCAGGGTAACTTGCCTAGTGCATCTCGTTGCCAAGCTTGCGATCCCCTTTGCCAAGCTCAGTGAAACATCAGGCCGGTGACTCTCATTTCGTCTAGCTAGGGCCTGAAAAGGCTGCACAAAGAGCTGTGCTCGAGACTTCCAGTGGCCATGGGGAAAAGGGCGCCCCGAAGTATTGGTATTTGATTTGAACAACAATCCTCCGTCAAAACGTCAAAAAGCAGAGGACCCCTTGGGCGCATGGCATGTGTTGTTTCTTCTTCTTTTGCTTATGTGTGCAGGTCAAGATGTGCTTTGGCTTCAATCAGCGCGACAGGGTCCCAAAAGTGATAGCCTGAACATGTGGGCACCTTTTTTTTTATCAACACCTGGATGCAAGATTGGGCACAACACAAAAACAATCCTAGCACACCTAAGGGGATGCTCAAAAAGTGGGGCGGGTTCCTGCCGTGTTTGAACAGGTCCCACGCTGTGCGTTTGGCAAGTGCCGTTCCCGCAAAACATGCTATAAAATCCAAAATGGGATGGCCCCGGAGAGGAGATTCCTCTAAACATCAGAGTTGGAGGTGCTTTGTAGAGAGGTTAGAAAAAGGGTCCCCTTTTTTCCGTAGTCTATTTTACTAGGGGAACCCTCCCCAAAAAAAGGGTAAAACAGCACCCAGTTGTGGTTGAGAGCGAACTACTTCATGCAACAGCTGCCTCCAGTTTTGGTCTATTCTAGTCTTCCCCCTGGGGAGGGCTCCTCCAATGGGGCGTCATGACCATCTTCTTAAAACCCGGCAGGGACACACTGGGTGCACGAAAGTGACATCTCAACCTCTTCAATGGACCCAGGAAACTCGAAGAACAAACTGAAACCATGTGTTTCGGAGCTTCCCGCATTTTGAGACAAACCCATTCTTCCACATGTGTTTTTTTTCTCCTCGGTGCCAAGGAATGCCAACTGCACCTCTGCTGTTGGTCACAGCCCCGCCCTGCCTTGGAAAATACTTGCACTGCGCTTGGTTACAGCACCGTGACCCCGCGGCGATGTCCGCGCCAGTTCCGCGACCAAAGTTCCCCATCGGGCTGCGCTAAGCCAGGAATCCCCAAGGGATCTTCATCGGGTAATACGAACTCCGGATTAAAAGACATCTGGTTGACTAATAGGGGGTGTCCCCTTTTAGCGGGGCTTCATCACTTTTGGAGACAACATCCCCCTAATAGGACGGGCTTATTAATCCGGGGTCACCATTTGATGGCTCTTCCTCCCCCACAAACTGTGTTTTCATTCTGTAGATCGGCAGGGCTGCCCCGGTTTCTGCTGAATCAGGACAAAACGAGAGTCTGGTGTCCACCAGTGAAGCCCAACTTCTTGGGGTGTCTTCCCGTTCTTTTCAGAGATCTGCCCCCTTTCGAGAAAAAAACAACAAAACAACCGGGTGAAAACGGGTGAATTCCGAAAAAATAGCAATGGTTGAACATCAAAAGGAGTCAACCGGAAAAAAAGAAAAAAGACAACAGAAAAAACAACTCTCTGCCCCATTCTACCCCAATGGCCCCCGCCGCCTGGCTCAGAGCAACCCTGGGCAAGAAAGAGACATGTCGACCCCTGATGGATCACTCCGTCACACTCAATGGGGACCCCCTGTTTTTGAGGGACTCCCCTTTTCGAAGGGGAGTGGCCCAAAAATAAGTCCTAGGTTTACTCATCAGGCTAGGTTTGTCATCATTCTTCATCTCCCGAAAGCAGGCTTACCTGTGAAATGCGTCATGATTGAAGTTCGGTCCAAAACCGACCCCCTTTTTGACCGGTTCTATTTGCCCAAATGTCTGGACTCTTTCCCCAAATAATCAAAGGTAATTTTCCCTTTTCAGGCCCATAATGTTCTGTGCATACTTCTGACTGCAACAAACCCCTACCCAGTTTCTTCCATTGAGGAGTTCAATCCGCGAGTTGAGGTCGTTTTGTTGCTGGGTGCAAAGAAATCCAATGCCCAGATCAGGGGTCGACCCTACAGCAACTCATTCGCCGCTCAGCTCGCGTCACCACGGGTGGCTCGGAGCATGGCTCCACACCTTTCGGAAACAGAAAAAAAGCTGGTCCCCAGACTCCACCACCCCACCAAAAGGAAAAACAACAAATCAGGTTATCAACTAAAGGTGACGTATAGAACCACCATTTTGACGGGAAGAACAATGGGCCGGCAAACTCGAGAGGGAGAATTCCATCCAAACAATTCTTACCAATCCAAAACCTGAAGTAGGGGATCCTCAAGTACAGGACCAACGACTATGGTGAGCTCGTTCCCCCGAAAACAGTGAGAGCTTGCGAACAGCACACAGGCAAAAGGATCAGCGTAGACATCCCTGGCTTCCCTTGGAACAGAACCAAGGTCGTATCCAGCTGTCTTTTCTTTGGAGTTGGTATATTTTTTCGCGCTTTCAAAGGGACACCAAAAGGAACACCTCCATTTCGGGGGTCCTCCAAAGGACACACCCGTCTCCATTTTGAAGGGCTTAAACTTTTGCTGGCAGGTCGTTCTAGGAGCACCGCAGAAGTTGCAACTTCGGAATCCATCCGCAACTCTCTGTCTCTCTCTCAGGTTTGCCACCCTGATCCCAAGTCAAGCAACTCGGACGTGGAAAGCCACACCAACCAAGCACGAGTTCGTAAGCAATTTGTCTCATTCGTACGGTTTCATCGAACTTTGTCTACCTCGGTTTTGAGGAAGCACACTTTGGGACAACACAAGGGACGGTTCTTCCCCTGCAAAGTAATATGGAACTCAAGAAGGGGCTCCCCCACACGCAGGTTCCCTGAAGAATGATTGGTTGTTTGGAGCCTCATGATCATCTGCTGGAGGCCCGGCGAAATGTGGGATGATACCAAATAATACCAAGGCCCCGACCTGTCTTGGCCTCAGCACTCGCGCGCTGGCGGTCCAAATTTCTGCCACTCATGAAAGCCACGGTCACAATTGCTTGTTTCCCGTAAAACACGCGAGAACCGTAGAGAGTCCTTCGCCCTGGAATTCTTTTTGCAGCGTCAACCACTCTTGTAAGAATCAAGAATTTAATGCAAGGTTGGGGGACATAATTGAACCCATTTTTCCATGATCATGACTCACATCCTTGGGCCATGATGTTGCCTGTTGCGGCTTGCCTGGTGCCATTGACATTGAGCTACTTGATACTTGGTACTGATGGTTAGTTACAACCCCGACACCAGCATTTAGGCTCTTCTTGGAGAAATTTGGAACCAACTACAGTATATAGTTTTCGCCACATAGGCTGGCTTTCGACATGCGAAAAGGCTCTTTTTTATCGTGTCCTGGCCCGGCCACTGGTGGGAGCTCCATCTTGCGGCTGTCGGCCACTGGCGGGAGCCTCAGGCTTTGGACTGTCGCGGCTGTCCTCCACTGGCATGCTGAATCTTGCCTTTGTCATTTTGGACTATCCATCCGTGGCTCATCATTGGTGAAGGTCCCATCAGCCGAACTATGCGGCACGGAGATGAAAGACCTCTATTGCACCAACGCTTGGTCTGGGCCATCGAAGGCCGGCAGCTCCTTCTTGGGAACGCCCAACCTTTCCAACTGCTTCCGAAGCCTCCTCAGCGCGCAGGGCCATTTCTCAGCCTTTATCTTCATGCAAGCCAGCAAAACTCTTTTCCGCCTTTTGATCTGCTTGCGCTCCATTGGCTGCTCACAACAGACACCACCACCAGCTTCTTCAGGGCCAGCCGCAGCAGGCAGCAAGGCACCAAGGCAGCCGCAGCCGTGGCAACACGTGTTACGTGCGCCCGCCGCGTGACGCCAACGAAATCGCGGATTATTTGGCGGGCGATGCGTGCAGACGCGCCCTGCATGCGGGGATGCAGCAGCAAGCTGCTGTGGTGCAACAGCCCCCTTGCCGCCTGGGCTTCTGGCACGTGCTCAGGCTTCGGACTGTCGCAGCTGTCCGTCACCAGCTCTGTCACAGCTGTCTGTCACAAGGGCTGGTTGTGGCGTTCGGATGTCACTTGAATCTAAAGATCTAACCCCAAACCTGTCGGGTGGGGAACAAACGGTCGCCGCTGGAAGTCTGGGTAATTGCCAACCCAGCTTGCTCTCGCAGCCCAGCGGCTGCCCTAGTCGCACCGGGAAGGTAGCCAGCGACATGGGGGGGCCCGCCGTTTGCAAACTGGCAACGCGTGGCGAGGAACCCAGGCCGTACTGCTCACAATCGTTTGTGGAAACTTCAAATAGAAACTGCTTTTGGCAAACCAACCTTCCTTTTCTTGATTCCTGGCAATACTCGTGCAACTTCAACATGTAACATGTGGTTAAAAAAGATCCAAGACAGGCATCGAGACAAGACGCCAACTTTGCAAGCACGTCCTTTGCAGGGAATGCACTGAGACTTTGAAAGCCACAGAACTCAATGGACCTTGTAAAAGGAAGTCAGCGATCCAACAGGAGCGAGTACAACCCGCGATCTGATCTGTGGGTACGTCTGTGTCCAAATTGGGTGACTCTGCGATTCCACTGCACAAAATGGTGCATGGTTTCCTTTGGGTTGCGTTTTCAACCGACCCCAAAGGCGTAACCTCAACAAACACAGATAGAAGTGTCATGTTCCTCCATTCACTGACAACTTGTTGTCTCGACAACGGACAAACGAACTGGCCGCTTAAAACAATCGTCCGGTATCCAATGAAGCGTCCAAAAGCAGTTCCAACCACGAGATTCGGGTCACTAAGCTCTTCCCGAAACCAACATCTAGGAATGTCGCCCAATGGAGCAGGATCCGCGTCACTTTTGCCAAGGAGTGGACATGTATGGGCAACACATGGGAGTGTTTAGTCGCAAAGCAAATCTCATCTTGTGCGAGGTGATCGTCTAATTTTCCCGGATGTATTGATAGCCTCGACAATGGAATTCGGAATCCGGGATCACAAACCATGCAGAACATGTGGGAGGTAACCACCCATTCTCCTGGTACTGTTTCAAGGGTAGTTCCACTGGTTACCCATTTTGCATGCCGGAAAGTGAAAACTCAGCAAAACGGTGCTTGTTTCAGGGGCAACCCAACAAAATACTGGTTGCATTATGTTTGGTACTATAATATTCCATATTATACTGTAGAATCACATAATGAATTCTATATATGTAGTGGTAACTAGGATCAACCGTGTAACTTGGCCCACATCCGGGGTACACAGAAAGTAATATGTTTCATATTTAGCATACTCCTAAAAAATGGCGGCTCAACATTAACAGCTGGGGCTGCGCGGGTTTTAGTCCTTGGTTCTATACCAGGGTTTCATTTTGGGTACCATTCTTGAGCCACAGCCACATGAGAAACCATTTTTGGAGGAGACCTTTGGGGAATGAATAAGGTGGCAGAGTGTGTCGGTCTCTCCCCTCGTGCCTCAGCACTGGCTCGGTGCCTAAGCCGAAACCCGCAACGTTTCGGGTTACCCGCAGCGCTTTGGGAAGCGACGACCCCTAGCTGTGGTTCTGCGTTCCATGGCTGTGTCTCAAAAATGGGGTTCCCAAAACCCCAGTTTGTCAAAAAACGACAACTTCCGCGGTCACTTTGATCCTCAACTTGAGTCACATCCACATGGCTCAAGTACTGGGTCTGATCCGACCCCTGCTGATTGTTTACGGTTGATGGTTGAAGACAGACATAAATGAAACAAGCCATAGGCAACACAAAAAAAACACACGCACGTTATGTCTGGCATTGTTGAAGTCTTCAAAACAAACTCAGATATGATTACGCATGAATTGGGAATGAACCTTAATTAGTTGGACCCGTTGGCTGGACGATAGAAATACATCCGCGAATTCATGTCCACCAACCACTCTGCATGATGCTCTAAATTCAAGTTCATATTAGTGTGGCTAGGTGGCTAGGTATGACAGTGTTTTTAGATACTTGTTCTGAGATTAAGTTATTCAAATGTTTCCGGTGAAGCCCATGTCAGCATGGGTACACATGTCACAAAGGCCTATCCAGGCTTGATAACCCGCCGCATGAAACCAAATAGTAAACTCCCTGCGGGTTTTGTAGACACTGCGGCGTTGGAAGAGGCCCGGAAGGGTGGATTCTTGGCCAAACTGCCCCCAGCGTTTCCCAAAGCGAGTGATAGTTTCAGAGTCTTGCAACTTGCAGGTGCAACTTTGTAGGGAATGACCGAGTCCGGGTGTTGGGAATGAACCGGAAGGTGTTTGTTTACTGGAAACCATAGGGGATGGCTTATAGGGGTCATTTCATTTCTCATTCCCTGCTGAGAACCAGCAAGATTCAAGGGTGCTTCCTCAAACTTGGGGACCTGTTTAAAGTTTGCATTTCGGCACAAAGCCAAAACCACTAAAGGGAGATGCGCATTTGTTGGAAGAAACAACAGACACCCCACTCTAAATGGTGGGATTCCCAAAAGTTCAAGGCTAAAAATGGCGGATTTTCTCAAAATCAAAGTACCCCACAATTAGTGGTGTTCTTTTTGGTTTCCCCTGAAAACCACTCCAAAAGGGGGCAACTCAAAAAAAACGAGCCACCCATGTGGTCCACTGGTCGGCAAGAAGCGAAATCCGACTAGGCCATCGAAGGTTTGCTGTGCTGAGAAGGCCCAGGTGAGGCCTTGGAGATATCTGCAGCGCTGAACGTAGCACGGTGAATGTTCAGGTGCGCGAGTGTGAGTGTGTGTGTCTGTGTCTGTGACTATGTATGTAGATGTGTGTGTGTGTGTTGTGTGACTGTGTGCGTGTCTGTGTCGTTGTCAGTGTCTGTGTATGCGTATGTGTATGTGTATCTGTCTGTGTGTGTGCACGCCACTTTTGGGGGTACCCTGTTGGGTTGTGTCAAGTTTTTGACACCCAAGCGAAATCACCCAATGTGAACAAGCCCTAGAGACCCCCAAGAAACTGCCCTAGCAACCCTCCCCTCTCTTGCCCTACCCTCCCCAGAGACCCCCAAGCATCTGATTCGGCCTGCCTAGGGCCCTTGGCATTTGAGAAGTCACAAACCACGTGCCCCAAGGTTCCTCATGCCCCCGACTCCAAATACCCACTGCGTTTTATGGTATCATGTCGACCCTCTACTAAAAAAGGAGGTATCTACCTTGAAAAACCAGGTTTTCCTCAAAAATACCCTAGAAAAAGTGGGTATTTGGAGTAGGGGGTGTACCATACAGCCCCGCGTGATCTGCACGTCGGCAGATGTGCTCACGTCTAGGCCCGCAGCTGCGGAGCACGCGTGGCTGCGAGCACAGGGCCGGCGAAAAGATCTGGCGGGTGCGAGACATCGGCTCTTTGCGGCGACGCTGGGCCCTGGATCTGGGTGGGTGCCGACGCCTCTGGGTTTTCAAAGACTTTGGTTGAAACCATGTTTCCCCTCTCAGAAACTTTGCCTTGACCTGGGCTCAACTGGCAAAAACTGGCTTCGAATCACATTCTGATTCAGATCTGCTTGACAAGGAAGCCATAGCCTGCAGCGGGTTTGTAGGGCGGTATGGGGGGGACGGGCTATCCCTGCAGCCTAAGAGAAGCCAAGGAGAAGCCCCGTAGTGGGTGATTCGAGATTTTAGAGGTGATATCGGTGAGAGGGGTCCCCCAATTAGGACCCATATTATCTTCTATGTGTTGATTTCCCAATCACAGCTAGACTTCTCCGATTTCCGTGTTGTTCATATTGTTCCCAAATTTCCAACCATCCGAATTCACATGTTGATATATGGTCCAACTATATATGTTCCCAAACTGCTCTTAGTCTATCATGTTTCCAACAATACGATGTGTTCTTTATTGTTGATACTGTTCCATTGCGCATGTGGGAATGTGCCATGCTTTCTTTTTTTTCTCCGAGACCATATAAATTTAAATGGACATCAACCTATGGGACCGTCTTTTTGTTGAGGGTACGAGTACCCGCTTTTGGTTGGTTTCAAAGGGAAACCAGAAGGAAAAACAAAATCCAATTTGGGGTCCAAATGCGAAAAAGTCACCACCCATGTGAAGGAGTCCAAGTACTGGGTATACATTTCCCGGAAGTGTGCCTTGATTCAAGACTCCGTCAATTTCCAAGCATGTTGACAGGGTGTCCTCCATGGGTCAAGACAACAGTTTGGATTCGATTTCGGTGGAGTACAGCTCAGCTGTTCTTTCGCTTGTTGGGTTGTCTTTAGTACTCCTTTTTTTTAACTAGGGTGGACCCACACAAGCCGAGTCCAAACAGTTGCCAGAAAGAGAACCTCAAGCTCCTTGTAAGTGCCAGAGCCCCTTCCTGCTGATGTCTGCCGTGCGGACACCAACCGCAAGGACGTCCGACTCAAATTGGCCGAGGATGATGTTTGAAGTTCCACCCATTGGCAACTGGTTCAGGAGTCTGTCCACCAGCATCATGTTCAAAATCAAAACGGCCGTTTTTGGGTAAAACAAGAACAACTGCAAGCATTGGTTTCTGTATTTCGTAAACCAACAAAACTTGTTGGCAAGCGTCGGATCGCCTGCGGAGTGTTCCGTGGGGTCATCCGCGGGCTGGGCTGCGGAAGCGTCGTCTGAGCGTGGCAGGCCATCGTCTGAGCGAACCCAGTTGAGTCACAATCACCAGACCCATGGCTCAGATGCGCGGTGGATTTCCATGGTCAAACTGGGCATCCTTTTTTGGTTGGTTGAGTTTAAAGGAATCGGAACCCTTCCCCCCCCCCCCAAAAAAAAGAGGGCGCCACTCGGACAACTGTGCATGGGGTTCCAATGAAAAGGAATAAGTCTTACCAAAGGCGGCCACAGCTATTCTTGGTGGGGATTGTCTCCTCCAATGGAAACCAAGAAGCAATGCCATTGGTTTGTGTATAAATTGGGGAACCCTCCAAATAGGTGGTTTCTCTCTAAAACTCCTTAAGCCAACACAATCAACAAAACACAGTAACTTGGACTTGCAATAGGGTTGCCTAAGTTGCCAATCTGTAATCATCACCCCCCCCCAAAGAAACGAAACTCGCTTGACATGCAACAGGAAGGGTGACAATCGAGGTCTTCCAACAAGAGGGGCAAAAAGGACAGCAATGCAACCTGACGCGGAGTCCATTTCATTTGTTTGCCGATGACCCTTCTGCAAAAAGCGAAAATGTGCTTGTGGGCCCAATTGAAAATCCATATCCCGAAAAGTTCAAGTCCAAAGATCCGTTGCCAACTTGTTGTGGGAATTCCGTACTGTTTCACCCAAAAAGTTCGCAAGTCCAATCAATGCCATATACCAACTGGCTATAAAGGTCTTCCAGGTGCCCTCCTGGCCATCTGCTCGTCGGTGTACCTTCCAAAAATTGGTGGCTTGGGGCTTCTTGGAGAGACGCATCCCCATGGTTTGGACGACGCTTTCTTGGTCTTATTTTACAACATAACTCATAAAGAGCTTTTTGGCACACGCCCATCCAGGGAAGATGACGCTCCTCAAAAAAAAAGAAGAAACAAAAAGCGGACCCTTTCCAACCAAAGGAATCGCCGGCCGGGTGGAGTCTTCAACATATTGGCTCTGAAGCAAACAAAGGGCAATCCCGCGAAGTGAGGCACCAAAACCCGAGGGGTTTTGCTTCCCTCGGATTTCCCAGCTGAGAATCTGCGGCGCCTGGACAGCCTGTTCCCATGTGTTCCAGGTCGGGGTCGCGAGGCCACTCCCACCATCCATTTAGCAAATGCCTTTTTGGGGGCCTCCAAGCCTTTGCCCTATCCAGAAGGTTTCTGCAAGATCCCCTTGTGATTCCTCCAGCCTTGATTTGCCATACCCAGAAGGTTTCAAGATTCAAGAGGAAACTCTCCAAAAACGATCCCTGACAACCTGGGGTGGGAGGAAAGGGAAGGGCACATCCTTTTCAAGGCACTTTTGTGGAAAGGTTCAAGGGAAAGGGCAGGTTCAGTAAGGCTGGGTTCAGGTAAACTCTGAGGTTGACAAGTGAAAAAAATGACAACTATAGCAAAAGGCCCGCTCAACATGTCCAGGAGGTTGGGCCGTTGCCGCCTGAAGCATATTCAATTTCACATATTCAAACCAGGCGACGAACCAAAAAAACAAAAATGAATCACTTATATGTCTGAAACACTTAAGCGTAAAACAAAAAGGCATCCCTTTACAGGGCTGCCCTCAGATCCCCCGCTAAAAGTTTAACTATTTAGTGGCTTAAATGGAAACTACCACTAAACACTAAAAGGGACGGCTGGGAGCCACCAAGTTTAGAGAGGTCCATCGCAACTAGCTTTGATACGAATCATGAAGCGTGGCGTCCCAAAGTTGGAGACACCTGGAAGAACATCTTGTCATCCTGGATGGCTCGTCTTTTCGAGGGTAACCCTCGTTTGGTGGTTTAAAGGGAAACCAAAAGGGAACTACCCATTTTGGGGGTCCCCTAAAAAGAGAGACATACCAATTTTGTCATCCCTTTGCGCGCCCTCGAGTCCACGCGGGGGATGACCTTTCAGCAACAAAACTATTTTAAGGTTGCATCCAAAACCCACGATTCCAACAGATGCCAAGAGGGCTGTTTGCTTTGGTCAAAGCCCAGCCGTGCCATGTTCCCCGGGACCCGCCAAAGGCAAACTACCCGGGTATCCAAGTGCCTGTTGTGTAGATGGACTCCCCTCATCCAGGATTCAGAAAACTTCTGGTTGGTTCACAGGGGGGGTGTCCCATTTGCACACGATGGTATATGCCCGATTTTCCCCTGAGGTATTGGTTGTTGCCTCCATCCCGGCGCCCACCAACCCCCCCCCCCCCCCGCCGGCGCAGGCAGAGACATGCTGCCACCTGGGACCTCACTCCCCAAGATGCCCCCCACCGTTCGTGCGCTTTTTGAGGCTTCCCTTGAAAGGGCCATGGAAAACTGGCCAATCATTTTGGGGCTGATCCAAAGGATACCAGGCAACGCCAACAAAGTAGGTACTTAGCTACTGACCCTTTCGTTTTCAAGTCCTAAACAAGCAGAAATCGAACATAAGAAGAGTACATACAAAGACCTCCCCCTGTCTTTCCTGCCAGACAGGTGAAGGGTAAACATGTATTCCTGGCTTAATTGGCCGGGTGGCGTATGAACCCTAACCCAGTTCACCCCCTTGGGGGTATCATTTGGTCGAGGTCAGGTCTGACCCGGATGGTTCCGGGGGGAAACCTGAAAATGCTGCCAAGCCGGCGTCAGAACTTGTTGCAAGCATCTGGCAACCCCAACAATACTCTGAAAACAAAGGGAGACAAGGCTCGCAATGTGCCCTGTTCGGAACGTGCCACCCCAATGTCCTGGACATGTCCAAACAATTGACCTGACTACAAAACGTGTGTGGCAACTTGGTTCAAACACTCAGGCCACGCACCTTTTCAAGAGAAAGTGAATGAACCAGACTACAAACCGTGCGGCCAACCTTGAGACCCTCCCGTACGCCAGCCCAACATGCAGGGCTTCATGTCTTACTCGCTTTCCTACAGCCTAGAGTATTCTGGGGGCTCCGGACGCCGCGAGGCGAATCAACAGGCTGCACCTTCCAAATCGCCGAGCGATCCGTATCCCGGGGCACTCCCAACTATCTCAGCGGCTCAATGCAAAGGGCTTCCCATCACTTCGATCAACCTGAACACGTCACATCCAGTTCTCATTTGTTTGAGTCCCCTGAACAAAAAAAAAGAAGTCCACTAGCGATAGATGCCCCTTAAAACCAAAAAGGGGAGCAAAACACATATTATCCGCGGAAAATGGAAGGTACATGCGCGGAAAGAAATGCTCAAGCCGGCCGCCTGGTCTAAGGCGCTCACTCTCATGAAGCCCTGCAGGGTCTTGTTTTGATCCTGGCCGAAGAAACTCGCAGGGCTGACCGTGGTCTTCCCTCGGTTGCTTTCTGCGCCCCCGCCAAAAGCGACTAACTGTTAGTGGTTTAATGGAAAGCCCATTGCAAAAAGTTAAAGTCCTAACATCCAAGCGAAATGCACCAAAGTTCCCAGGGGGCCAAAGCCCAGACCTTTGGTTTACTACTCAAAATATGTCCCCAATCAGTTACTAGGGTCTAAACGCTATGTATTTCCCACAATGTGACTGAAGTCCGGATGTGCTGTTGTCCACTAAGATATCCCAACAAGCGCCAAAAGTCCAGAACTCAACTCAGACTCTATCACAAAGAAACTAATGCAATTGCTTCCTGCTAAAGGCAGTCCTTACTTGGATGACCACCCCAAGTAATATGTGGTTCAAATCCCAAGTTGAACGATCCTACATATCCTCCACCTGGATGACTCATTAACCGGGAGATATCTACCACATATTGCAGGGTACAGTCAAAGCAGCTAATAAGACTGGCATTGAAATGTGTCTTGATGTATGTAATGTGTATTTCCCGATAGAAGCTAACAATTCTACTTGCATCATGTTATTTTAATAACCAATTCTAAAATGAATAGCACGAACAAGCAAATTACAACTATTACCAAGCATGCACACAGAGTTATCTTTATTGACGCTCGCAAAGAACCTTCTAAAAGAAGTAAGTTCATATCCAACTAATATTTTGTGTTATTCAATTATAATTATATATTGTTTAATTGTCTCACTATTAATTTTACACCATGACCGATGAAGATACAAGACAAAACAAAAAATCAAAGTTAAATGCATTTTGTTTTACGATTGTTAAGAAACGGAGACCTGGTAGATTCAAACAAATCGACATAGCAAACAAAACAGGATTGATTTCTATGTATAATTTATAATAATCAAATCAAGCCATATAACACAACATATTTACAAATAACACTTTGATGGGGGTGTAGTTCAGTGGTAGAAACTGAACCAATACTCTGCCCATGGTTGGATAATGCGAGCAACCCTGATAGAGTGACCCCCCCCAATCAAGCGAGAACTACCTCAACGTCTGCCCACAACCAAAAACGATACAGTGGACGGACAAAAACCACTTCTCACCAATTGGGACGGATTCATCCACCTACCAACTGGTGCAGGGGGTTGTTCATCCACCATGTCACCATGTCCTGCCAGAACTCCTGGTCGCTCCTTAGCTCCCTCTTTAAAAGCAAATTTGGATACCCCCAGCTCCTTGGCTCCTTCCAACCATCAGCTAGCCACAGCAATTGTGTTTCTGGTTGATATTTAGTCCATCTTAAAACGAGAAGTCATTTCAGGGGGCGAACATCTCGCTCGCTTTCGCAAAAAAAACAACTCTCCTGGAGCTTCTTGAACTCTTTCTCTTGCTGCTGGAGCTGAGCGTCCTCCGAACGGAGGCGACGAAAACACGAAAACTGGCTACGCTTCCAATCAGCTCCCCTCTGAAACTGGTGTTACTTGTGCAACTTGTACAGGTAGATGGAATCACTGCAAGCCCCATGAGGCTTTGGGCCAAATCCCAAGAAGTCGTGCAACAAACTGAAAGGATGTGGATGGCGACCTACGTACTGACTGGAAACTGGCTGATTAATCTGAGGAGGTGCAACCCATGTATATAAGGGAAAGCTACATTGGGAGAAAGGTCAAGTTGGAAAGAAATCAACAGGTTGGTGGATATAGGGTTCACGGCTTCATAGTGGGATCCTAATCGACACGTGACGTGCCAGCCAGCATCTTCTGAACACCCTTGTTATAGCTCTTTCATGACCCGTGCTGATTTGTTGTTTAGTTTGATGGTGAGCGATGTCTGGTTGAAATCAGCCACCAACGACTCTCATGGCTTCTTGTATGAGTCCATGCAGTCGCCCTTGAAAGAAAGAACAGGAGAAACGGGAGAAACAGCAGCTGATGTTGACTTGGAGTTCATCCGGAGTACCAATCAGGGGCCGAATCAGGGGTGGTTCCGCTTGTAGTAAGGAAACTATCTACTTTTGGAACCAGGATTTGTTATTCATGATTGATTCATAGAGAGGGGTGTCCCATAGAACGCAGTCCTTCACTTTTGAGAGAACCGCTCCCCCTGCATCCGCAAGTGTTTGTTTCTTCTCCGGGGTGGACAGTCACGCACGTGTTGCTTTTTGCTGAGTTCCGCCTTGTGGGGACGTGTTCGTGTGGGAAGCCAAAAGGAAAACCGGAGCCATGGAGGTCCACACCCTGAGTTCTTGATACGCCCAACCCGACTCGTCTTTCCAGCGCCCATTCCGGTGCCTTGCTCTGAAGCTCCTGCCGCAGCCTGCCGGAGTTTCTAAAGAAAGTCTGCCGCTTGGACCTGCGTACTTCGCAAGCCGCAAAAAAGGAACAAACATGTAGGGAACCTTCATGGGTGAGCTCTCATTCAACCAGGCGAGCCCAAACTTAGGGTATAGGCACAGCTAACAAAGCGAAACACCACGAGTTGGCTGACTGGTATCCACGCTTGCAACCTCCTTCAGCACCCCAAACCTCCATTCGTAAGGTTCCATCGAGTTTCAAACACTTTGAATTGACACTCACATGACTTTGTTTTCGCAGCTGAAAAGAACTCATGCGAGCCCGAAAACCACTAACACCCATCAGAAACCTGATCAACAAGTCCAGAACCGCCACAACCTCATGGGGCCAGGAATCGTGGCAAGGATCGGCGAGCTGATGCATAAATACAGCACAGTAAGTACAATGAACACGTGCATTTGCTCGTTGAAGTGTGCTTCTAGCTGGTTGCTTCAAAGGAGAAGCACAAGCAGTCACTTGCATTTAGGCACTGCGTTGCGGACGGACCCGCATGTGTCCTTCGCATATTGGGGGCAGCCCCACAATTCATGGCTTCCGTTCGTTTCTGTTTAGTTTCTCACGGGTGGCCGTGATACAAAAGGTGCGCCTTGGGTGGGGTTGGCGTTACGGACCGCAGAGAATTCAGAATCCGCCAAGAAAATTAGGGAAGCGGGGGTTCTGGAAGCAAATCCGCAAGGTTATTTCAATACCACACATGAGCCTTGAGACACGACAATGGCGGTGGAATTTCCCTCAAAGGGCACCCTAAAACCGGCACACCCACACATGCGTTCCGTGAGTTAAAACGACCTTAAAGGGCACCTCTCAAGCTCTCCACCAAGAGGATACTTGGACCAATTTCCTCTCAGGGACCTGTGCCAGTGTGGCATTGCGGGAGGGAAACCCTTGTTTTTTGAGCACCATGTTCCACACACGACGCAGGACAAAATCAAGGAACAGACAGTTCGCAGTTGGGCATCATTTGAATCCACTATACTTAGTTGCTGTTGTCCCCCGGGCCCCCTGCAAAAAGCTTAACGTTTTAGGGGTTTAGTGAAAAACCCCTTGATTTCCAAAAAACAAGTCTAAAGATCCAACCCACTAGCAGTCAAGTATACCTGGAGAAAAACAAAACTGCCCGCTGCTCGCGCCTGGTGATCTCTTCCTCTTGATCCCGTTGCACCGCCTGTGCCTCCGCTCGCAGGCCTGCAACTTCGCCCTGGCAAAGCATTCGTCACGCTCGAGCCGAAGTTCTTCGTTTTGGTGTTCCAGGTGCCAGGCGTGTTTTTTCGAGGGCAAACCCAAAACGGTACCCTCAAAGACTACACGCCTTTCGACTAGTTTTTGATCAAAGCGCGCCCAAAAGGAAGACAACTCTTGGGGGATCCCGGTTCTAAAACAAACTATGGTGTGAAGGTGTCTGGTTGCGGACCCCTTGATGGAAGTCATCTACATGCTGAGCTTCGCGCTCACCAACCGAATTCTAATAAGCAAGTCACCCCAAACAAAAGAACCTTCGTCACGGGTGAGTTCGCACTTCCGGTACTTTCGGTGTCATCACTCGACTAGATCTTCCCACAAACATATGGAACTCGAGGCTAAACTCCGAGACTATATGCTCTGCATATGCTCTGCACCCGTTTGAACGGGAAAGAAGATGAATAAAACATGGTTGACTACTACGAGAAGATCCTTGTCCTTTTTTGGGGGGGAAGGCGCAACATATCTGGTTTGCAAGGTTTAGAATCCAGATTGACATTTCTGATTGGCTTCTGGGTCCAACATCACGCAAAGAAGGCAGGAGCTGATGCGATCCGCGTGCTGGCGAACGGAATTTGATCATTGATGCCTCATCCCCAGCCACTTGCTTTGGGTGAAGGGCTTCAAAAGTACTCCAAAATGGCCGCCAAACAATGTATGGACCCTGGCAAGTCACTAACGTTGGGCCGCAGAACGCAGGGTGCCCCGTGCACCAATTCCTTTTTGGACAAGAGACAGAAAGACGCCAACCGCTGGTGACTGACCCCCGAGCTCCGAGAGCCAAGCCGGAAAAAGGAAAGGGCGGAGACAAATGCCGCCATGGGATATATGCCAAGTGCAGGCTGCGCTGCAAAGGAAGCCGCACTGTCGCCTTGGGGCATTGTTCTAGGACAGTTTAGGAACTTCCGTGGGCCACTAATTGAAGGCTAGCTCCCCGAAAGCGTTCTGCAAAGCCATGTATAATAGGCACTCCTTGTTGCAATAGCGCACAAAACTCAGAGTCTGGCGACTGTTATGGCCATGCGGCGCGCAAGGCGCACTTTGGAAGCAAGTGTGTAGGGCCCGACGAACACTTTGGCAGGCCTGGCTGAAGAATCGCAACTTTTCAGTACAAGTGGAACACAAAAAGTACACTTTGGCAGCTCCAGCTCCAAAATCGGCAAAAGGGCAAAATGCTTGGCTAATCTTACCTAAGTCTGGCAATGATTCAAGAGATCCCCTTCAAAGCTCGTTCACTTAACTTCCTGCAATCTCCGTGGCGATTTCAATGGACACCACCGGCAAATTGCAAGCGAAGGGGACATGTTTTTAGCGATCTCTCCAACAGTGGCGATCCTTTCAACGAGAAACCACCAGCACATTGCAACCTTTCAAGCATAGGTGGCCTCTTGGAAAAAAAGAAAGATGGCCCTGGTAAATAAGAAAAAACCCTTCGATACACCAGTGCCATCAACTTTTTAACCAGGCTCACCTAAAAAGGACACCTATGCTTTCAAGTGGACATGTCCCGCGCCCTTGGATTCGACGCCGCTCTCGGCGCTCTCGCCCGTGTCGCACCTCCAGGGCGGCGTTCCGAGTCTTAAAACCTGCGAGCTGCACCTCCAGGCGCCTGCGAATTGACGCGAATCGGGTCGACATGAGGGCAGAATGTGGGTATGTGTTTTTTTCTTCAGGAGCACGTGCTGGGGTTGCTTTCTGAAAGAGAAACCCAAAGGAAACCAGTGATTCTCGCAGTCCCTGATTTTGAGGGATTTGGATTGGTGGCTTGGGGAATTCAACCTGTTGAAAGTGAATGGGAAACCTAATCTCCTACCGTCCAAACACAAAGGGAGTGCTTGAAGCGACATGTTGTAATGTATAAGCGCCAGTGAATAATTCGAATGTTGTTGTGGAGGACTTGTAATAAGTCATGACAAAAGGAACCATGTGTGTAATTGTCGATCCGAGCACATCACACCATACCCGGGTAAAAAGGATGACGAGCGACCAAGATGGGGGATTTGTGACCTTTCACCCCACCTTAGAGCCAACACACAGATGGTTCGAGAAAGGACAAGGAAAATAAAACGGAAGCACGCCCTTTAAAGCGGGAAGGATACAATCACAAGCAGAACGGGGAACCTTCCAAAGAATTTCCACTCATCTGGGGGGCCCCAATGTAAACCCCTAGCAAGGAAGCCAACAGCTAAACCCTGGCCCTTCTGTTCCCATGCTTTTTCCGCGTGCGCGAGCGACCCGAGCCGCTACTAGAACTATCTGAGCTTTCCGATGAATTCGATGGACTCGAGGACACCGTGACGTGCTGTGAATTACCCCCAAACGCTCCGCTCTGGCTGTCTCTCCTGGGCGTTCGGTGGCACGGGAATCACAAAACGGACGACTGAACAAGAGGTTGCCGACCTTTCGCTTTGCATTTAAATCGCTTTTCAACAGGGGGTCCCCAGTTTAAGACAATTGCACACCCTTGGACAAAATGGAGCGTGCGGCAGACGCCTAGTATGGATTTGCCCAACAGCACTGAAGGTCGCTAAATTGAAGATTGGCCAGCATGAAATGACCTAAACCACACCACCTGGCTATGAATATCAAACGAAACCATCTCCGAAGTGGTTGGTGGAAAAAAATCCCAATCAAGTTGATGTCCACCAAAGGGTCCACAATTCAAATTACTTGGAATTGTCAGCTAACAAGGCACATGCCATACAAGGTGGACTTCCAGCATGGGGCCTGAGCCCTCCCCGATGTGATTTTAGATCGGTGAGTTTTCTCCGTGGGCAATGGTTCACCGTCTCTTCCACGGGTACCTAAGTGAGAAGCTGGGACCCCCAGCTAAGCTGGAAAAAAACAACAGTAGTGATAGATTGCCTTCAAAAACCCAGGAGAAAAGACATGAACACAAACAAAAACACACATTCATTCAGCTAACCCCATCCCCTCCCCCCCCCCCGTTTCCCCGTTTCCGGAGGGTCAGAAGTTTCTCTCGGCACCGAAGGGGCCACTTCATGACGGCGCCGCGCCAGCAGTCCACCAGGCGCTGGGCAAAGAGCGCCTGCTCGGAGTCGGGCGCCGACGCGGCCACGGCCGCCACCACCTCGCGGGGGAGTCGCCGGTTTTAGGGACGGGAGGCCATGAGTTCTTTAAGTCTTGAAGAGGTAGCCAGGGGAACCACCCTGTAAGAACTAGAAAAGAGAAAAAAAACACAAAGCACCTGGTAAAGTGGCAACTGGGATAGAACTAAAATAGAGGAACGTGGCTGGTTACCTCCTAAAGTGGAAACTGGGATGTGTTGGGTGTGATACCAAGCAAGAAAAAAAGAAACAATGCGGGTAACACCTCCTTTTTGCAGGGTTGAGGGAAGCCCGGTTGTGGTTTCACCCTAACTCCAAGCACTCACTCCCTGAGTGAAGGATCCCTGGATTCAGTGGGAATTCTACACCCGGAAAGTAGGTCTGCAGAGAAACAAACCAACCAAACAGAGGGCCCCAAGAAATCAAGTTCGGTTTGCTTGGGTTTGTTTGGGGTGAAGGGTTCGGCAATGTGCTTGACTGGATATTACAAAACTAATGGATGGTTAGGGTTAGACTTGATGGATGGAACAATTCAGGGGTAGAGGTGTTCAATTTAGCGATCCTTTCAGTGTCGCGCACTTTCCTCGCGACTTAGCTGTTCTGCGCCCTGCACGCACAGGACCGCGGTACCTTGTCAGGACACCCGGACCTGTTCTACACGCTGCGCGGTGGCGGTGGCCGAATGGCTGCCCTGCTACTCCTTTTTCTGCAATGCTGCATGGTGGCGGTGGCTGCCGCTTGGCGGTGGCTGATGCAGCTGCCGCTGTATTTTTTCACCGGCGCCACCACGTGTCAGGGTGACGCCTTCTACTACAAAACAACTTGGGAGGTCACCTTGGCCAGAAATTGGCCAAAGCATTGCGATGTTCATGCTGCTGTTCCTTGAAAACAACGTTAAAGAGGGTACCCGCAAGAACAAGTACATGTATATATATATATATATGCTACCCCCCCCCCCCCCGCAGGGACCTACATTATTGTTGCCTCTCCTGTGCATGGTTTGCCCATCTAGGACTGGAAGGAAAGATCTCTCAACTAGGACTAGGACCAAATAAGACTAGAACCAAGGATCTCTCAACTAGGACTGGGACCGAACTAGGACTAGACGACCTACCTCTGATTATTATCATAATTGAATTTCAAGTCTAACTTTTAACTTCCTCTATAATGTCATTTTACTAGGAGCAACCTAGCACTAGAACCAAGAATCGCTCAACTAGGACCAAACCAGGGCTAGACTGTTAACTCTATTTCTTAGCATTTGGATGTCAAGCAATACATTATATTGCAAAGAAAGTCCTGTGTAACAGGATTGAAACGGAATAGCCCAGATTTAAGCTCCAATTTAACACGTAATTTATCACTGGATTTGTTCCTTAGTTCAAATTATACTGTTCAGTTCGCAGTTGCATAGAACTTGATAAATATGAAACATAATTCATAAGGAACTTCCTTTGCAATGTCCTTTGTGCTTTCTAATTTGCTTCAGTAAGCTAGGACCATACTAGGCCTAGAGCCAAGGATCTCCCAACTAGGACTAGGACCAAACTAGGACTAGACCATTTAACTCTAGTTCTTATAGTGTATGAATTTCAAGTACAATGTTCTATTGGAAAGGTCATGTTGTGTTCCATTCAATTTGACATAGAACTACCCACGCCTAAATTCTAGTTTAAATCGACATTCTGACTGGAATATGCCTTGTTAAACCCGATTTGATTTCAGATAGAAATTGGGCCGAATTTGATAAACATATTAAGTAGAATTCATAAGGCAAGAATTCAGAGGTCCCAAACTTGTGCCTTTTCACTCGTCCTAGCAGTACCATGATCAGAAAACAGCGCAAAACACAGTGTTGTGTAGCATCTTGTATACTCAATTCACATCTCTACCAACGACCGCTGTCTAAATGTTCATTTCATTTTGAGCAGGATTTAATTGGGACTCCATACGGACATGTGTGTTCAGAATCCTACTTGGGATTATATCTCAAGTTTAGAATTTAAATAGACTTCCTTTCCCAATATACTCTTACAACTCAATTAGGGCTTTAACAGGATTTGATAAGGAAAGAATCCAAGCCTGTATTGAAGATTCAAGTTCAATATTCTCTGGACAAGTCTTCTCTGCAAACCCGAGTCCAGGCCCGAGTGCAACCGATTGAAACCGAATGAAGTTTGGGTTGAGCCTGGATTCAAGATCCCCTATAAAAGTTTGGCCTGCAATCTTCAATATGGGCCTAGATTGAAACAGATTTCAACCGGTTTAAACCGATTTAAGCTTAAATCGGGCCTGGATTCAAGACTCAAGATTTAAGATTCCCTGGAAAAGTTTGGCATGGATTCTTGAATCTTGATTCCAGGCCCGATTTAAGAATCGGTTTAAATCGAGGCCTGGATTCAAGATTCCCTGGTAGAGTTTGGCCTGGGTTCTTGAATCTTGAATCCAGGCACGATTAAAATTTAAATCGGTTTAAATCGGTTTAGATCAAGCCTGAAGCTTCCAGGATGTCCTTGGACATGTGTCGTGTTCATTGCTTTCCCCAAAGCCCAACAACGGATAGAAAACACTGCAAATACTAGTGAGTTCTTCAAAGCGGTAGGTTTTTGGGGGGAGGGCACCATCTATATATACATACATGCATACATATATATATATATATACATATATATATATATATATACATATATATATATATGCCCCCCCTCAGGGCCTACCTTTCCTCTCTTCTAGTTGAAGGTGTCAAGTCTACTCCGTGTGCCTCGTTCTTGCAGATGCCTGAAAACACTGTAAAATACAGTGTTTATGTTGGTGTTTTACCTTCTATATGGCGGCAATGCTTGCTTTGCTTACGCTTGAAAGGCAACAAAGCGAAAACGGAGTTCGGTTTCAGATTCGAGTCTGGCTTTGATTGAAAAGACTGCTTTTTACAGTGGTTTTGAGTACACCAGGGAAAAACATTGAAACCATGATGTATTTTGCGGCTTTGAGCTCTGCAACCTGCACATGCCAAACAAATGTCCAGACCAATGTTGGGAGTCTGGGGATATTTGCGCATTGTTTGTTTAGCCACATTTATTTGGGAATGAGTTGCTATTAAAAAAATGTTTGCAAAGGCCAAGTTATTTTTTCCAGAATAAATCTATTCCAAGTCAAGTCATATTTGGGAAGGGATTCTTAAATAATTTCTTATGTTCAAAAGCCAATTGAAATTTGTCTGCATTAAAGTGTATTTAAACTCTATTGACATGTGTTTTCTTATTTGGAAAGGTATGCCTGTCCTTACTCAATTCTGTTCAATGTTCAAATTGCAATCGGAGCAAAATCTTACTTATTTGGAAAGGAATGTATATTTGGACTTGTTGGAGGACTCCCGGCTCCAAATTATAAGGCTTGGAGAATCCAACATTAGACAGCTCGAGGATTCTGATCTTCAGATTCTAGGTTACAGGTGTTTCAAAATGGACATTTGAAGGGATTAGAGATCCAACAACATGCTGTAAAACAGTGTCTTGCAGAAATTGCTCAGATTGTGTTCCCT